CATGATGCCGCTGTGAGGTCTTCAAGCTGTCTTTGCTAGGTAAGTGTCGCCATGTCTCGCCATAATACAGATACGGGTCGGAACTTTTGCGTTGCATGCTAGATAATCCCGAACATGCTTCATGGAAGGCTTGTTGAATCTTCTGTGCTGGGGCAGATTGAGGCCCGTTGTCTGAGGCAGGGCAGAGGACACAGTACAGCCTGGAGGCATCATCAGGGGCCTTTTTGCCTTCGGGCCCAGCATCATGTTACAGATAGTAACGCAAGCAAGCGATTAAGGAAAGACCGGAGTTTGTGTTAAACGACTGCAGTTCAAAGAAATGCAGGGGGATTGTCTGAGTTTTTGCGTGTCTGCCGTAGATTTCGGCCCATCAGCAGAAGTCGTCGTGGCAGGTGCAGTGTGAGCTGTGAACATGGGGCGCTCCATTCAGCTCTTTTGGTCCTTCCTGATCTTCCTGACGTGTGTGGCGTCGGAAGACTGCGCGGAATGCTCCGATGCGTCCTCAATACTGCACCACAAAACCATGGGCCGAAACGTTCGCCCTCATCACCATCACAACCATCATCATCATCCTCATCATTCTCATCCCAGGTGTCGCAAACCTTATCCGTTCATCTGGGACAATGATGCGAACTACGATGACACCTTGGCATTCTTGTATCTTGCACACAGTGAGAACCTGGATTGGAAGGCGATCACGATCGAGTCGGATGGGATGGGTACCCCGCATGGAGGGCCCACGAACATTGCGGCCGTGGCCCAGCTGGTAGGCTTGGGTGATGTTCCCATTGCCATGGGGGGCCTCTCCAGCTTGAGCCCTATTGCCACCATGCCCTTGCAGTGGCGTATTGAGACCGATGAGTTCTTTGAGCGCCAATTTGAATCTGGGATCTTGGAGATGACCGACAAGGCAATCGTGGACGAGACTGCACCACAGCTGATTGTCAAGATCTTGAAGGAGTCAGAGTGCCCCGTGGTCATTCTAACCACAGGTCCAGCAACCAACGTCGGAGCCTGAGCTACTGCCTGAGCTGCTGCGAGCTCATGCTGCGTGCTACTCACTTTTACTTACTGAGCTCAGGTTTGCTGAGCAGATCCTTTCAACTCAAGATTCTGAAGCTGAGGTGGCAGAAGCGCTGGACATGGATCCATCCATTGCGGAGAACATCCAGGGGATATACATGATGGGTTCTGCCTATGGCGTTCCAGGCACAAACAATGTCTACGATTGGCAAATGACATACAACGGTGTGAAGGGCTCCTGCACCGAAGACGGGGGCCAGACCTACACGGGCTTGTCCCCTCCACTGCTCAAGGACGGAGTGAAGAGCGCGATTCGTCCAGAATGCCGAGGAGTTGACATGACTGCACACGGCGACACGGAGTGGAACGTCTTCATGGATGTACGTGCCTGGCGCATGGTCTATGGCTTCCTGGAACCTTCGCCTGCAGATGTCTATGTCTTGGCCGCAAATGCCACACTAAACATGCCGGTGACTTTGGACGAGATGGAGGAGTACGCAGCTTGCTCCAAACGTGTCTTTTGTGGCTAGGAGTAGCTGGAGTAGCGCATGTCATCATATGTCATCAAAATGTAAACGGGGAGTAACACGCTGGGATGAAGAGAGCACTGTGTCGACTCCAGCTGAGTTTCGAGGCATCAACGCTGGCAGATGAAGACCTCAGGGTCTTTGTCATCGAACTGGCCAAGGCTTTCCTCGCAGCTGGAGAGGCCAAGTGGTGGGATGCTCAGTGTGCCGTGGTGATGGACCAAGTCTTGTCAGGGAAAAAGATTGGTGTGTGCTCCAACTGGGCCGAGCAGAAGGTGACCAGCGTATCCCTCGTGTGGAGATCCAATCTGACCGATGGTGAGCTGAACCCTTATGGTAGCATCAAGGATGATGAGGACGCGCATGCTCCCCCGGTCGACTACTGCTTAGATGGCAACGTCACCCAAATGTGGGAGGTCTACTGGCCCATGGTCAACCAGACCGGCTAGAGGCCACTGGCCTACGAGACGGCCCTTGCCCCAAAGCATAGCAGGTGACCCATACGTGGCATCTGCTTGGTGCAATGGCTACACTCTCATGGCCAAGTTTCGCACTTCAACTGACCTTGATCGTTTCAGTCGTTCGGGGGTCCCAACCTGGGAACCACCTTGAATCTTGGATCGAAGAAATCGGCAGATGGTGGAGCCAAAGAGGAACAAAGATGCTGTGCAGACCGGAAATCAGCGTGCTTCTCTTCTGGTGTGATCACTGTCGACTTGACTTCTGACATGGGAGGATCCATGATGCATCATGATGCCGCTGTGAGGTCTTCAAGCTGTCTTTGCTAGGTAAGTGTCGCCATGTCTCGCCATAATACAGATACGGGTCGGAACTTTTGCGTTGCATGCTAGATAATCCCGAACATGCTTCATGGAAGGCTTGTTGAGTCTTCTGTGCTGGGGCAGATTGAGGCTCGTTGTCTGAAGCAGGGCAGAGGACACAGTACGGCCTGGAGGCATCATCAGGGGCCTTTTTGCCTTCGGGCCCAGCATCATGTTACAGATAGTAACGCAAGCACGCGATTAAGGAAAGACCGGAGTTTGTGTTAAACGACTGCAGTTCAAAGAAATGCAGGGGGATTGTCTGAGTTTTTGCGTGTCTGCCGTAGATTTCGGCCCATCAGCAGAAGTCGTCGTGGCAGGTGCAGTGTGAGCTGTGAACATGGGGCGCTCCATTCAGCTCTTTTGGTCCTTCCTGATCTTCCTGACGTGTGTGGCGTCGGAAGACTGCGCGGAATGCTCCGATGCGTCCTCAATACTGCACCACAAAACCATGGGCCGAAACGTTCGCCCTCATCACCATCACAACCATCATCATCATCCTCATCATTCTCATCCCAGGTGTCGCAAACCTTATCCGTTCATCTGGGACAATGATGCGAACTACGATGACACCTTGGCATTCTTGTATCTTGCACACAGTGAGAACCTGGATTGGAAGGCGATCACGATCGAGTCGGATGGGATGGGTACCCCGCATGGAGGGCCCACGAACATTGCGGCCGTGGCCCAGCTGGTAGGCTTGGGTGATGTTCCCATTGCCATGGGGGGCCTCTCCAGCTTGAGCCCTATTGCCACCATGCCCTTGCAGTGGCGTATTGAGACCGATGAGTTCTTTGAGCGCCAATTTGAATCTGGGATCTTGGAGATGACCGACAAGGCAATCGTGGACGAGACTGCACCACAGCTGATTGTCAAGATCTTGAAGGAGTCAGAGTGCCCCGTGGTCATTCTAACCACAGGTCCAGCAACCAACGTCGGAGCCTGAGCTACTGCCTGACTCACTTTTGCAAACTGAGCTCAGGTTTGCTGAGCCCGTGGATCATAATCGCAGGTCCTTTCAACTCAAGATTCTGGAGCTGAGGTGGCAGAAGCGCTGGACATGGATCCATCCATTGCGGAGAACATCCAGGGGATATACATGATGGGTTCTGCCTATGGCGTTCCAGGCACAAACAATGTCTACGATTGGCAAATGACATACAATGGTGTGAAGGGCTCCTGCACCGAAGACGGGGGCCAGACCTACACGGGCTTGTCCCCTCCACTGCTCAAGGACGGAGTGAAGAGCGCGATTCGTCCAGAATGCCGAGGGGTTGACATGACTGCACACGGCGACACGGAGTGGAACGTCTTCATGGATGTACGTGCCTGGCGCATGGTCTATGGCTTCCTGGAACCTTCGCCTGCAGATGTCTACGTCTTGGCCGCAAATGCCACACTTAACATGCCGGTGACCTTGGACGAGATGGAGGAGTACGCAGCTTGCTCCAAACGTGTCTTTTGTGGCTAGGAGTAGCTGGAGTAGTGCATGTCATCATATGTCATCAAAATGTAAACGGGGAGTAACACGCTGGGATGAAGAGAGCACTGTGTCGACTCCAGCTGAGTTTCGAGGCATCAACGCTGGCAGATGAAGACCTCAGGGTCTTTGTCATCGAACTGGCCAAGGCTTTCCTCGCAGCTGGAGAGGCCAAGTGGTGGGATGCTCAGTGTGCCGTGGTGATGGACCAAGTCTTGTCAGGGAAAAAGATTGGTGTGTGCTCCAACTGGGCCGAGCAGAAGGTGACCAGCGTATCCCTCGTGTGGAGATCCAATCTGACCGATGGTGAGCTGAACCCTTATGGTAGCATCAAGGATGATGAGGACGCGCATGCTCCCCCGGTCGACTACTGCTTAGATGGCAACGTCACCCAAATGTGGGAGGTCTACTGGCCCATGGTCAACCAGACCGGCTAGAGGCCACTGGCCTACGAGACGGCCCTTGCCCCAAAGCATAGCAGGTGACCCATACGTGGCATCTGCTTGGTGCAATGGCTACACTCTCATGGCCAAGTTTCGCACTTCAACTGACCTTGATCGTTTCAGTCGTTCGGGGGTCCCAACCTGGGAACCACCTTGAATCTTGGATCGAAGAAATCGGCAGATGGTGGAGCCAAAGAGGAAAAAAGATGCTGTGCAGACCGGAAATCAGCGTGCTTCTCTTCTGGTGTGATCACTGTCGACTTGACTTCTGACATGGGAGGATCCATGATGCATCATGATGCCGCTGTGAGGTCTTCAAGCTGTCTTTGCTAGGTAAGTGTCGCCATGTCTCGCCATAATACAGATACGGGTCGGAACTTTTGCGTTGCATGCTAGATAATCCCGAACATGCTTCATGGAAGGCTTGTTGAGTCTTCTGTGCTGGGGCAGATTGAGGCTCGTTGTCTGAAGCAGGGCAGAGGACACAGTACGGCCTGGAGGCATCATCAGGGGCCTTTTTGCCTTCGGGCCCAGCATCATGTTACAGATAGTAACGCAAGCACGCGATTAAGGAAAGACCGGAGTTTGTGTTAAACGACTGCAGTTCAAAGAAATGCAGGGGGATTGTCTGAGTTTTTGCGTGTCTGCCGTAGATTTCGGCCCATCAGCAGAAGTCGTCGTGGCAGGTGCAGTGTGAGCTGTGAACATGGGGCGCTCCATTCAGCTCTTTTGGTCCTTCCTGATCTTCCTGACGTGTGTGGCGTCGGAAGACTGCGCGGAATGCTCCGATGCGTCCTCAATACTGCACCACAAAACCATGGGCCGAAACGTTCGCCCTCATCACCATCACAACCATCATCATCATCCTCATCATTCTCATCCCAGGTGTCGCAAACCTTATCCGTTCATCTGGGACAATGATGCGAACTACGATGACACCTTGGCATTCTTGTATCTTGCACACAGTGAGAACCTGGATTGGAAGGCGATCACGATCGAGTCGGATGGGATGGGTACCCCGCATGGAGGGCCCACGAACATTGCGGCCGTGGCCCAGCTGGTAGGCTTGGGTGATGTTCCCATTGCCATGGGGGGCCTCTCCAGCTTGAGCCCTATTGCCACCATGCCCTTGCAGTGGCGTATTGAGACCGATGAGTTCTTTGAGCGCCAATTTGAATCTGGGATCTTGGAGATGACCGACAAGGCAATCGTGGACGAGACTGCACCACAGCTGATTGTCAAGATCTTGAAGGAGTCAGAGTGCCCCGTGGTCATTCTAACCACAGGTCCAGCAACCAACGTCGGAGCCTGAGCTACTGCCTGACTCACTTTTGCAAACTGAGCTCAGGTTTGCTGAGCCCGTGGATCATAATCGCAGGTCCTTTCAACTCAAGATTCTGGAGCTGAGGTGGCAGAAGCGCTGGACATGGATCCATCCATTGCGGAGAACATCCAGGGGATATACATGATGGGTTCTGCCTATGGCGTTCCAGGCACAAACAATGTCTACGATTGGCAAATGACATACAATGGTGTGAAGGGCTCCTGCACCGAAGACGGGGGCCAGACCTACACGGGCTTGTCCCCTCCACTGCTCAAGGACGGAGTGAAGAGCGCGATTCGTCCAGAATGCCGAGGGGTTGACATGACTGCACACGGCGACACGGAGTGGAACGTCTTCATGGATGTACGTGCCTGGCGCATGGTCTATGGCTTCCTGGAACCTTCGCCTGCAGATGTCTACGTCTTGGCCGCAAATGCCACACTTAACATGCCGGTGACCTTGGACGAGATGGAGGAGTACGCAGCTTGCTCCAAACGTGTCTTTTGTGGCTAGGAGTAGCTGGAGTAGTGCATGTCATCATATGTCATCAAAATGTAAACGGGGAGTAACACGCTGGGATGAAGAGAGCACTGTGTCGACTCCAGCTGAGTTTCGAGGCATCAACGCTGGCAGATGAAGACCTCAGGGTCTTTGTCATCGAACTGGCCAAGGCTTTCCTCGCAGCTGGAGAGGCCAAGTGGTGGGATGCTCAGTGTGCCGTGGTGATGGACCAAGTCTTGTCAGGGAAAAAGATTGGTGTGTGCTCCAACTGGGCCGAGCAGAAGGTGACCAGCGTATCCCTCGTGTGGAGATCCAATCTGACCGATGGTGAGCTGAACCCTTATGGTAGCATCAAGGATGATGAGGACGCGCATGCTCCCCCGGTCGACTACTGCTTAGATGGCAACGTCACCCAAATGTGGGAGGTCTACTGGCCCATGGTCAACCAGACCGGCTAGAGGCCACTGGCCTACGAGACGGCCCTTGCCCCAAAGCATAGCAGGTGACCCATACGTGGCATCTGCTTGGTGCAATGGCTACACTCTCATGGCCAAGTTTCGCACTTCAACTGACCTTGATCGTTTCAGTCGTTCGGGGGTCCCAACCTGGGAACCACCTTGAATCTTGGATCGAAGAAATCGGCAGATGGTGGAGCCAAAGAGGAAAAAAGATGCTGTGCAGACCGGAAATCAGCGTGCTTCTCTTCTGGTGTGATCACTGTCGACTTGACTTCTGACATGGGAGGATCCATGATGCATCATGATGCCGCTGTGAGGTCTTCAAGCTGTCTTTGCTAGGTAAACATGCTAGATAATTCCTCCCCAAAGCAGCAACATCGGCTTGCAAACGAAGTGGCGAACATGCTTCGTAGAAGGCTTGTTGAATCTTCTGTACTGGGGCTAGACTTCTTGCCACCGCAATGTTCGGTGGGCGCCTCCTTACGCACGGGCGCCGTGCCGTCCTGACAAGAAGGTGGGCATGTCATGTTGCTCCATGGCACAGCCAGCTGTTGGATGGTTCGCATGCCTGAGGACGATGGAGACAACATGTCCGAGCAGGATGCCATCCGCTGCATGCCTGCGATTGCTGGGATTGACTGCGCCGGCCTCGACTAGTGCATGCTGCAGAGGCCACGAAAATGAATCGTAGCTGTGTTCAGGTGCACTTTGCAAACAGCTGCTGCGATCACCGGTGGCTACAGGAGATGGCGCCTTGATCGACGTGGGCATGTCTATGAAAAAATAGGGTGATGTGCCAGGTTTCGCTTGCAAGCGTTGATGGATCAGGTTATTCGTATTGCCGGCAGTGCATCTTGGATTGGTACCGCGCACATGACCGGCAAAATCGAGTGCTGGCATCTCCAATCACCAATGAGCCCCTCACTGACAGGACTAAATCACGAGGTCCAAAATTTGCATTTTTGTTATCAGGGCAGTGCCTGATTGTGGGGGGCTCTTGCCAGGATGCTACTTCCAAATTTAAATCTGCGGGATGCCATTCGCGCACTTCATGACCGCGCTATGCCGGCGTGGAGAGACGAAGCTCATTTGCATTAGGGTGGCGAGTGTGTAAGAATGAAAAGATCCGACAGGTGGCAAAGCCTGGGTGCATAAAGGGCAAGACTGTGTTCAGGCCGAGAAGGAGCGATTGGCATTGCGCCGGGAGATCCGCCACTTGTCCACGTGCTTCAGTTGCCGGGCTCGGTTCTGCCAGATTTTCGACTTTCGGCGTCGCTCTCAGTTGTGTTAGAGTGGACCAGGCAAGATGGCTACCAAAGACACGTTGGACCCTCGCGTGCCGCTTGCCTGTGCTCCTGGTTGATGTCCTCCCGCCCCCTATCCGCCAAAACGATTGCCATTAAGTCTTGCAAGGATCGCGGGCTTGGTGCATTTGTTGCGGTCCAATACCACGAGTGTGCAAAAATGAGCGCATGCCGCAAGAGAGTCGCCAAGGGCAGATGCAAAAGCGGAGGCCGATCAGACTCGTGTTCAATTGCAGAACACCAAGCAGGAGTCACCTGCCAACCCCCCGCCATGGAAGCTCAATGTGTTGGTTTACGGAAGGAGCTGCAGCGATTGCAGATCGAGCTGGTGCCGCATCTGAGTGGACTACTGGAACACGATGGCAACATCGTGCCTGTGGACGTATTCAGCGTCTTTGCTTCCATCTGAGGAAAGATACCACACAGTGATGGAGGACCGGGATGCATCCGTCAGGGATGTTGAAACGCAGGCAAGGCAACTCCAGTCCATGTGCAATCTCTATGCAGAGGCCAGTATGCGGCTGGGACGTGTTCACCGTGTTCTGCTGTCTCTGCTTGCGACAGGCTCGTCTTGCTGGCCTGGCTGCTGAACTCCAATCAAGCAAGACAGAGGCTTCTGGATCCGAAGCCCTGAAGCTGCCGGCGTCGGACCCTAGCTACGCTTTGGTGCACAGGTGACCAGATTGCAGCAGGAGTTGGAGAAGACCAGGGCTCAGGTAGGTCGAAATGTGCCATTTGTGGGCTTCCAAAAATAGGGGGGTACCTTCTTGGGGCTGATTAAAAGGGAATCCTACAATTTGGGGGGCTATTTTAGGGGTCCCTGTATTTACGTAAACCCCCATTTGGTGTTCTCCAAGTGCCCATCCAGTTTTGCAGTTTCAATGCAGGCGCGACTTCAGGCTGAAAAGCTGGAAGTGTCCTCCATCGAGCTCCAGCGGGCGCGGCTATCAGAACAAAGCTTGCAACAGGAGTCGCTATCACCCAAGTGAGGGGGCGGCGCCTGGTTGCTTGTTGATGCAGGACCTTTCCCGCATGAAAGATGAGTACCGTGGGCCACTCTGGCGAAGTTGTTTTGAGACAAGACTTCCATGAGTAGGCAGACCCAACGGTGCAAGGGCGCTTGCCTTCATTTGCCTTCCATGAGAGTAGGCAGACGCAACGGACACATGTCCTTTTGCGAGGGCGCTTGCCCTGAAACCAACTCCGAGCAAAGAGGTTGAGCTGACAAAGGCGGGCACAGCACGGCTAGACGTTGGGCTGAGGATGCTACTGTACATGTTCTTAGGTACCAACCCGGTAAAGTCGTAGTGCAGAAGCCAATCTGATGTACAACGTGCCAGATCTCGATTTGGTCACTTACTGTAAGACGCAGGCCCACCAGGAGCTGACAGCCAGCCAGGCACACATCGCCGACCTGCAGGCTTTCACATCGCTGTGCGAGGGAATGTTATTGGAAAGTTCTACTTGGGTATGCGTAGTGCATTCAGAAATCTCCAGTTGAGAGTTTGCAGACGAGAAGAAGCAGCTATAGATCCAGCATCGGTGCCCCCCTTTTCAAGGCGAAGCTGATTGCGGCGCGCCGAAGCCCCAGCAGAACCTGAGCGTGCAGGTCACCTTCATGTATGCTTGGGCAGATTTGGGCAGCGATTTGCGGTGAAACTTTTCGAGGCCAGGCAGTGTCACGTCCTGACAGCCCCACTGCTTTGGAGCTACCTCCAGCTAGCCTTTTGCAAGCCGACCTTTCGCAGATGAAGCGCCTGAGCTTGCAAGTCAAAGCGTCATGTGTTGGCTATGACTCTGTTTTGTGTTGAGTGGTGGCCCGAGAACGTGTGCGAGCGCACTGTTGGGAACCCCTAAGGCAGGCGCTGTCCAGGCAGGACACCACGATAGCAGAGCTGCAGACGCAGATCACGGCAGTGCGTGCAGAACGCAGGAGCCAGGGGAGAAGAAGGGATGAAAGAAATTTCCGTGTGGGGGCATGAAGGGCTTGCTTCTTCCTGCGAGGCACTGGCAGGAGCTCGGCGAGTGGCGGGAGCAGCGGCGCCTTGAAGCAGAGGAGCGAGCGGACCTGAACGAGAGAGCATCTGCCAAAACCTGCAGTGACTTGCATGTTCAGCACATGCTGTCGACAGTTCAGTTGACGCTCCAAGTCCTCACTTCTGCAGCTTGCGTAAGCTTTTGAGAGAAGGTGCTGCTCCACTTGTGGCGTGTGGCTTCAGGTGCTGAAACCGTCCACCCACGATTGCCACCTCGCCTCCTTTCAAAGTCCCCGAGTAGCCATGGGCAAGGGGTTCACCATTGACAAGTCCTTGGAGGCCACCATGCATCAGTACCAGATCGTAGGCCGAGCGGCGCCAACCCCGAAGAACCCGACGCCCAAGATCTACCGCATGAGGATCTTTGCCCGGAATGTCGTGCTGGCCAAGTCCCGCTTCTGGTATTTCATGAAGCGTCTCAATAAGGCCAAGAAGAGCGGTGGCGAGCTGTTGTCCGTGAATGAGCTGCACGACACGTCCCCGACCAAGGTGAAGAACTATGGCATCTGGCTGCGCTATGACAGTCGCACCAACACGCACAACATGTACAAGGAGTTTCGCAACGTGAATATCAACGGCGCGGTTGGGCAGCTTTACCAGGAGATGGCTGGCCGCCACCGCGCAGACCCGGGCTCGATCCAAATCATCCATGCCACCACCATCCCTGATGAGAAGTGCCGCCGAGAGCACGTCATGGAGATGCACGACAGGAAGCTCAAGTTCCCGGTGGTCAGAAAGATCCCCCATGCCGCCAAGAAGTTGCGCACTACCTTCAAGGCCAAGCGCCCACAGACCTTCATGAAGTAGGATCATGAGAGGGATGCTTTGCGAATGCGCAGATGCCCAGACGCAGTGGAGGTGTGACGGAGCAGAGAGAAACGACTCGCGTGCACGGCCTCTTGCATTTGCACAGAGTCTGCACGACTTGCAGCACTTGGAACTTGGACTTGAGGTTCACTGTCCAAGGTGTAGTGAACGTTGTGAGAGTTCCATGTCGCACTGCCAGGATGAAGCGCTTCGGCTGCGGAACGAGGTGGGTTTCTCATCAGCTTGAGCGGACAGCACAGGTGCTCTCGGAGGCAGAAAACATTCCACTTCAAGTGAAAACTTGCACAACTCTTTGGTATGCAGTTGGCGACCATTGAGCGACGGAACTTGATCAGCTCGGAGCTTGAGCGCACGGCAGAGGTGGCGACGCAAGAGGTACCCTTCACCCAATCTTCAGACTGCCCTTTTGTGGCTCCCAGCGACTGGCGCCAGGCGGAGCGCCTGGAGATGGAGCTGCTGCGCGTCCAGGGACAGCGGCAGCAGTCTGACAGCCAGTTGGCCGGGCTGGTGCTCAGGCTGAATATGATGAAGATGTTAAGTGTCGGAACATTGTCCTTTACAGTTTCGGTTTGGGGGGGGCCCGCCAGCTTTACGGGCTTTCTGGTGTCAACATGTGCAAACAGCCGAGTAAATGCAGTGTAAAGGCAGTGCTTGAGTGCGGAGACTTGCTGTGCTCGGTTTGTTGTTGTTGGTTCGCCCTGCAGCTTCTTGGCTTCGCTTCGTGGCTTCTCGGCTTTCGTGCATTCCCGTTAGGGATTCTCAGCGCAATTGGCAGTTCGGCCCGTTGGCAGCTGCTATGACTTCTAAGCTTCCTGTTGTGTTGTCTTTCCTGCCTCCAGCTTTCGCCGGGACAGGTGTACGTGCATAGAGCTGCGACGTGTTCGCGAATCTACAGGAGTCCCTCCAGAAAAGACTGCCTGAAAGGAAGGACAACTATGGTCTCTGGGGTAGGTCGATGTGTTGCGTTGTTTGGCGGGGTTTTCAAATTTTCTTGGGGTTCAGAAATTGTTATGTGTTCTCACATATGTTCACGCTTGCTTGAGCGAAGCTCTGGGATGTGAACCGGGTATCGCGGAGGTGTGACAGGCCAGCCAGGCGCTTCCAGGAGTAATGCTCGGAACGTTGTCCATCTGTGCTCAACAAGATGAAGTAACGTGTGGCGTCGTGTTGGTGATTCATGTGGCTTCATCATCTTCTCGCTTTCCTTGCCTTCCTGCTGCTGCATGCCAAAGGTTTGGGTGGGTTTGCACTGAATGCGTCGCGTCTGTGTAAAACACCCTGTGTTTACAAAGAAATAGCATTGACTTTCGTGCCTGAGAGCACCAGAACAGTTCTCCATAGCTCTTCATCCGAAGCCAAGGCCTCGGCACTGGGGGTCACAGAGGCCGACCCCGAGGCCGAGGCACTGATTGTGAAGGCAGCAAGCTCAGGCGGCCATAGAGGGCACCGTGCTGCTGTGTGCTGCTGTTCCACTGCAGCTTGAAGGTCCAGGAGCTGCAGGGGCAGATGCAGGGCCAGGAAGCCTTGCTGCGAGACCTGGTGGCGATCTCAGTCGTTTGCGACATGTGTTGCGTTTTGTTGCTTTGGGTGCCCTTCGCCGCTGTCCGCGTGAGGCGGCATCCCTGACGGCTTCGGCAGCGGAGATGCCCAGCCCATCGGATGCGAAGGGGGAGGTGCCTGACATGCCCATGAGAAGGAACACAATCTTCGCCATGTTTTGCATAAAGAAGCACATCATCTCCATTGGTGAACTTATCCTGTATCCGACAGGCCACGTCAGCTGGAGCGGATGATGTTGAACGCGTGATCAAGTCAATCGACATCTTGAAAGCCAAGGCATGCTCTTGTGCTAACCGTTCGCATCGACACCCCAGTAAAGTCCGCAAAGGAGTTGATAAGGTTCTTCTCGCATGATGAACAGGGATGACTGACATTCTGGATTGTTGGAAAAAGTTGTGTTCCGTGTGCCGTCCGCAGTAATCAGAAAGGCGATACCTGAATTGCAAGGCTGCATCCTTATGAAGTACAGTAAGCGAGTGAAGTCGCTCAAGCCAGAACGAGGTGCACGAGGCTGCTCGTGAAATTTTCGTCCGCGATGAACTTCTGGCAGAGGCCGCAGCGGGCATCGCATCTTGACCTGTGACTGGCTTCGCAGTTGCATGCACCATGTGTCAGTAGTGTCAGTCGTGGAAACAAGTTCTAGTAGTGGGGCGCAAAATCGCAGCTTTCCCTCGAACTGCGCAAAACAAAGAATGGCCTGGGGACCATGCCTTCCTTCCGGAAGCACTGGATCACCCGAGGCAGACTTTTTGGAGGCCCTGGGCCTGGCAGCGCCGCAGTTGCCCAAAGGCAGAATGAGCGACTGCGGTATACCTCGTTACATACTCGTACATCTTGGACATATACAGACACACACACACACAAACACATATACATGTATGCATGCGCTTGTGTATTTTTCTTCTATATTCTTATCTCCATTATTCGAATCAAAATCTCTACACACACATGTATATATATATATACATATATGTATCTTTCCATAAATATTCTTTCTATGTTTATGTATTATGCAGAAGGTAAGTGTACATGTCAGCACGATGGCGTAAGATGGCGTTCGCTTCTTTCAGCTGCCCCACGGGTAGGTGCTGTCGAGGCCACCCGGGCGGCCTTAGAGGCATTGGATGCTGCGGAAGACTCCGCCACTCAACAGCTTTGGGCTTCTGGACACCTTGGGATCTGGAGTTGTGGTGCCGCTTGCAAGGTCAGCCCAAAGGGCCAGAAAAGGGCCCTTTGAGCAATGGCCCCTGTGGTTGCTCAGGCTGCACGCTTGGCGCGTGCGGCAGCCTCGGCGAAGCAGACGCCCAGCGCAAGGATCGGACTGCCAGGTTGTGCCAGGTTGCCTGTAGCCGCTGTAGCCAGAGAACGCACCCCGGAATCCCACATCTGGGGGATACTATGCATGACATGCCTAGTACTACATGGCGTCGTGGAGAGCTGTTTGTGAGGACCGATGATGTGTCTCGGATGAGTTCGGAGCAGTGAGCAGCTGTTCCTCGCTTCCGCGTTTGTATAGCCCGTGCTCTGAAACAGAGACAGGGCACACAGACATCGCGGAGTAATGGTGCTGGAGGGCATGTCAAACTCCCATGCGAGTCTGTCAGAAGTTGTCGGTAGAGGACCGGATCCAGCTCGAGGTGTCAAAGAGAATAGCGCCCTTTGCTGGACATGAAGCAAAGACGGGCCAAAAATGGCCTGGCAAAAAAGATGAGGCCATTACGACTTCATGCTGTCTCATTGAAGGAACGTGATCAGAGTCAATGCTGGCTTCATGTGGAGCACGACACCTGCCAGCTGCAAAAAGCCTCAAATCGAAGGCTAGGCATGTGTTTACACCGTCGGGGTGCATGTGCTTGTTCCCCATATTGAAACCTACGCTAGGTGATGCTGTGATACATGCTCCTTTTTGCGCCTGGGTCGATACTGTTGCTCTAGGGCTGCTGCGCCTGAGCTGCCTATGCGTAACGATGGCCATGGAAACAAGCGCGGATATTACACACCGAGCCCGGCGTATCCTCATTGGTGCTGCTTGTCAGCTATTCAGGTGGCTACTGCGTGGTGTCGACCTGGAATAACTTGCGATCGTTTGCATTGCATTCTTTTTCGTGTTGCAGCGGCAAGCTGTAGCAAGGCAAAAATGAGGCAGTCCAAGGACACTCCGCAGAGACAGACCTGCACACCGTCTGCCTAGATGGTCAGTTCTCAAAATGGTACCCTAAAAATAAGAGGCCACCCTATCCTTGTAACCCCAAAAGGGATCATAATGTAGAGAAGTGACAAGATGGCTGCTTGCCATATGGGCTAGGCACAGACCTGGCATGCGACACCCTACAGTGTGGACATGAAAGAATCAACGAAGCCAGAAGCAGGAGTCCTGGGATGAGTTGTTTCTCGCAGCGGATAAGGACACGGGGAGCATCGCGTGCAGCTGTCGCGTAAATATCTGGAGCTTGGAGTGTTGAAGCGGCTTCCAGTCTTTGAAAGGGAGCAGAGAAGTTTTGGCGTGCGAAATCATGGTGCCACTACGTCAGGACAGGTCGAAGGCTTTGGATCTCAAGGAGTTGACGCAGGCCAAGAGTCCTGCTGCCGCCTCACGGGCGCATTTCTGTGCCGGCACAGCTTGTGATGCAGCTGAGATGTGGCTCAAGGCATGCCCTAGTTGCCTGCGTAGTTGCACTGATGATGCCGATCCGGATGACGAGGCTATGCGGCCAAACTGCTGAAACAATTGGTAGTCCGCTCCTGACTTCCTTGCTCTGGTGGAACCCGTTGTTCAAGAAGCCGCTGCACTGTGCACACTCTTCGGTTTTACTCTTTGGCTGTTGTCCTTGATATACACTTTCTATTTGGAACCTCCCCAAGCTTGATAGAAATGTCTGGACCTACTTTCGGCTAGCGACTAGAGTAGAAGACAGTGCTGCAAACAGGTGGCAGTGTGATCACGATGGAAAGAAATAGCTGCTTTGCATTGATGGCTCGCCTGAAAGGTTGATCAACTACAAGGGGTTTATGAGTCAATTCTGGCTGGGTGGTATGTTGCACAAGCACTCGCCGAAAATGCAACCATAACACAAGGCAGCCCATGCATAACGGCACAAATCACTTCCGCCCCTGCCCAAAGCCCAAAGCCCGGTACCCGTTGCTGGCCCCTAGCATCTCAGGTGCTTTGCGTTTTGTCCACTGGTTCTTTGCAGCAGCTCGGAGGCAAGTATGTATCCTTGTATTTTTTGAGCCTAGTTGTCGGAAAACTTTCATGTCTTGAGGCACAAAGCCAGCCAGTTGCCTCCTTTGAACCTCTTCAGCCCTTGGGAGGTGCTCAGTTCACCTGCAATGATCGCGGTTGGTCGGATGATGTTTGCCTGCCTCAGGGCACGAATGTCTCTGGATGCAGTGCGGCAGGCCAGGCCGGGAACCGGAGGAGGGAAAGCCGAACCTGCGAAAGCCTGTGGGTAGTTCTCTAAAATTTGGGACCCTTTTGGTTATCAAAACGAGTATTACAATCAGGACCCAACAAGGTACCCTAACTACCCATGTCGAAGAAGATAGGAGTTTGTGGGATTAGGGACCCTCATGAGTGGGCGCTGCCAAGGCTACGCCGTGCTACCGCAAAGCCCAGACTGGACGGACATCCGGAGACAGCTCATCCGAGAGAGCTCTTGCCGCATTCTGCAGTGGCTGTCCATGTCCAAGAGACTTCGACCTTGCTGTCCTACGGCGTGCCATGTTGCTAATGGCAAAGCACAATTTTGTAGAGACTTGCTTGCTTGCACTTGTGATCAAAAAAGTCTGCCCCGGGCTTCGATAGTCCTCGCATGCCCCCTTTACGGTTCATCCCCCCAACGTTGTTCATGATACTGTTGGCGAGGATGTTCGGACGTGAGACGCTCCCACGCAAGTCAAGGCCTGATTGTACAGCATGGGTTTTTTGGTTGGCCATCATCTGCATCGGTCAGGCCGGATGGCATTGCGACGTATGCTGTGAAGCATTTTTTCCCAGCCTCGTGGCACTGCGAGGTTGCGTTTCTAGATGCGATTTTCAGACTGCTGCGAGCATCATGAAATCTCATGGGTCTGTGTCCGAGGATTGTTTATATGCCGTGTGGGGCACCGGACATCGAAGTGATTGCGAGAAAGTCATCAATGTCACGGAGATTCTGTGGACAATGCCCGCCAAACTGACGGCACTCTGGCCAAGTTCTAGCATGCGCTTGCCGAAGGAATGGTCTTGTCTGCTTCTCTCTTGGTCTGGCCTCCGCAGCAAAGGCCAACTACTCAATGACACTGACGTCAAAGGTCTTCTTGACTCTCAATACTTCGGGTTATGCCCCGAACTACGACATTTGGGGTGTCTGGGCAGAATTTGTGACAGTTGACAAAGGAACCATTGGCGCAGAGTTCTTGGACGTGAAGCTTGCTCAGGTGCGGAGCAGCCGGCTGACCCACAGCTTCCAGACAAGCACAAGTGCTGGCTAGCCGCTGGATAGTTTCTTTTTTTAGGCCCCGATCCTGAGTCGTGGGTTAACACTGTTTATGGTCTGTAGTTGGTTTGCACTGCTTAACATTGGCTGTGGGGCGTTGCTTGGAGAGCATTGCCTATCGGGCTGCAGACGGCAGCTGACGGATTCCCGAGTCTGCGAGCGAGCGAGGGAGAGAGAGAGAGGCCCCAGCAGGACCGGGGCGCGCAATCGCGCGGAGGGTTCCCCTCCATGCCCCAAAGAAAGAAAGAAAGAAGGCCCCAGCAGCCTGGGTTGAAACCTCCAACAGCACCGCGATTGTCTCACACACCGACAGACCGCTTGAGCACCAGGGGGCCATGTGCTGTGGAAGGAAGGAAGGAAGGCCCCAGCAGATACAACGACACACGAGACATGCTGTTGTTGTTTCGGAAGGCCCCCCTCAACGTCGGGCAGCTCAAAGGATCCCTGTTTGGAGTTGCAGGGACTGTCGCGGAAAGGCCCTGAGGAACACCAATCAAGACGCAAATGAGACCACCTCGCAAACTTATCCCTGGCACCCTGTCACTCCCTGTCTCTCCATGTACTGCATTCTGTGTCGAGCTATGCCGTCTGGATAGCCGAGGCTTCCTCAGAGAGGCAAGACTCTCGTCATCTTTCATAACGGCCATGGAATGTCGAAGGGCTGCCCAACCTATGGAGACACAACCTGTCTTGCTGCAGCGTGCACAGTTTAAGGCAGTGGTCTCCATGTCCATGTGGAGGCAGTGCGGATTTCAGTTTGCTTGTGGACGGCAGGAGACACAGATGGGAGTGCGGACTGGCTCAACCAGATGGGGTTTGATGTCGCGACGATCATGCATCCTGCCTCAAGACACTGTGGTGTTTGGCTCGCTTTTCTTTGCTCTCTTGTTTCCGTATGTCCGTGGGAAGCTGACTTTCGTTGATTCATTGATTCCGAAGCCGCTCGCTTCGTAACGAGTGGAGGCATGAGGCAAAGATTGCACACTTAGTTCGTTGTTCCCGCATGAAAGACCGTACATTCCCCAAGCCAGTGTGAATATCAGAGGCTCGTGTTCAAGACGCCCCGTTCCATTCCAAGCTTGAGGAAGGGCCCTCCATTTGCAGCCCAGGATGCCTTTCAAGGATTGCAACTCCGCTCCCAACGATCCCCCGAGTCTCCATGTCGCCTTTCCGCAAGCAGCGCATTCCAAGCCTTCTTCTGTTGAGGGTCGAGTATGCATTGCCCTTCTTTAACTTTGGGATGTTTGGGCACGCGATGGCACCCTGAGGCTTGGTTTCAAGCATTCGAGAATGCCGGAAAGCCCTGGGTGCAATACTTCCTGCAGCCAGCCTCTTGCTTGGTCTTGTTCGCTCCAGTCTCATGAGCCGCCATGTCAACGACTGGTATGTGTGTGAGGTCATCAGCACCATCAACTTTGCCACTGCATCGTTGGCCTACGCTCCCTTGCTGCACAGGGGATCCGCAGGGCAACAGCTGCCCGATGGCTTTGTTGGGACCGACTGAAGATGCTGCGTGGAGAGTACCATGAGGAGAGGGTCATTATGATGGGTCTTAGTGGTGGTGGCTGGACCACAACACTCGCTGCAGCTGTGGACCCGCGAATAGCGCCCCGGATTGATGGCACGTGAAGGGGTCCTCGCGCCACTTGGGCAGAACAGGTCACAGGTGGAGGGTGCTTCGAATGCCGAGGTGCTCTCGGTTCCAATCGCTGGCAGCCTTCCGTGCGATTTCCGGCAGCCTGGCTAGCACATGGCCCAGGCGCTGCAGAAAGCAACGCATCGGGCAATGATTTCATGTGGCAAGTTTCTGCATGAGGCACACCAGCTGGGACTTCGAGCAGTACTGTTCTGACAGCTGGGCGCAGATAGGCAACTCGGCATCAAGCTCAAAAACCCCGAAACGGTAGTGCCAAAGGCTGAAAAGCGAACACCTGCCACGGCTGTAGAGCCAGGAAACTATACGGCCTTGTACGTGCTGGCTGCCCTCGAGAAGGGTCGGACGAGCTTCTTGGCCTCATCATTCTTTTCATCCAAGGCCTTGGTGATATTGGATGATGGTTGCTAACCAAGAGCAGACCAGGCTTGCTTACAGAGTGCATGGAATGAACATCTGCTGGGTGAACAAGGCGTCCAGATGCTTCACGAATCCGACCCATGTTGCTTCCATGCTTGTGCTCGACATGGGCGAATCCAGGACCACGAGAGAAGCCCATTCTTGCCTTGAAATCTTGTTGGCGAGCTTCACCCTGCGGACATGTTGACATGCACATTTGTGTGTGGTGGGGCTTCCGGCAGCCAGGACTATAATCACTATGTAAACTCTGCCGCGCGTGGTGCCTTCAAGACAATCGTGACGGAGGGCAACCAACACCAATTCAATCCGATCCTCGGCGGACACCGCGACCATTACGAGCATCTTCTGAGTTACTTTTTGTTGGATGCTTCTTCACTTTGGCCTCAAGCAAAGTTGGTACTGGGCTGCAAGGCGAGAGAAGATCATTGCGGCAACTTTGATCGAGAAGATAGCTCGTAAGGAGGCGATGTGTTCTTGCCATGTCTCGTCTTGGAGCACTTTCGCGGGCAACATGGGCCTGTCAGAATTGAACCAAGTGCCGAAGCGCCTTTCCGTATGTTGGAGCATCTTTTCCGGCAAGCACCATTGAAGCGTCTAAGAAACGACCTTTTTGGATCAGCGCGCGCCTTCAACGGGCCATCAAAGGGCATACAGAGGCAATACAGGCGTAAGGGGCGATAAGTGGTGTCAAAGGGCGTGCAGAATGGCCCCTCGAATTTGACCGCGGGCCAGATGCTAGGGAAAAGAGGCTTGAAGACTCAGAATGAACGGGTTTGGCTGCGGAAAGGCAGCCCGAAAGCAAAAGAGGCTCCGGGCCATAGAGGCGTTGTCAATTTGAGGAACCTGCAGAATCCTTGTTGGAAAAGAGGCTTCGAGAGGGTGGTGGAAATTTGGGGGCAAGTCCTCCCCTTGGTGATGCGTCAGACAGAGCCTTCGGACAGAGCTTTCAGATCTTTTGCACACAGCTGTCGCAGCCAGGAGATCGAGGCCCGTGACTTGCAGTCACCTTTCGACCTGCTCCGCGATGACCGTGACGAGAGGATGATCTTCACCTGACAGTGGCCCTTCACGGCCCGCAAGAGCGTTCCCAGTGTGAACTTCATGTGAACCTGGGCCGGGACGTCGCAGATTCGTAGATGTCGTAATCATGTGCGGTGCTGCACCCCGCCGGCAATGGACAGAGCTCCTTCGGCTTCACGGGGGATGTCGGATGTGAACTACGACTGCTTCTCGCATGTCAAGCGCTGCGCCGGATCGTTCCGTTTTGGTGTTGAGAGGTGAACTGCAAGGTGACGGCCTGGAGAGGTTGAAAACCGACTCCGAGGTAGCACCACTTTTTGATTCGGAAGATGCTGTCGGGCATGGAATGCCGGACGCGGCCAGCTGTCAGCCGAAAACAGTTTTCAGCTCTGCATGGAGCATTCCTCCTGCGACTGCGCCGACAATCAGGATACATCTTGACAGGTTATCCGCGAGAAGCTGCGAATTCCTGATAGCACGCTGCGTGGCAGAAATTCGCGACTGTGGCAAGACATTGAAAGTATTTGAAAGTGATTGCTTTAGCGGCAGTGCATTAGGCGAGCTTCATCTGTGAACAGCGAGGCTACCCGACCATGAGATTCATGTGATCTTTTCCGAGATCGATCTTGACAAGTGCCTTGGAGAAAGATAGCTTGCATGCCTGGGAGGAATTGGTTCTGAGCTCTTGAGGACTGGAAACATATCTGGTCCAGAGTTCTCCCGGCATCCAGCCGGCACTAAGCATTGTGCCATCTTGGGCCACGACTGTTCGTGTGACCATCCTCAGCATTCTCACTGCCACCCTGGTGAGGTTTGTTTCCCGGGGGCCTCTGAATCCGGAGGAGGAGGCGAAGCTGTTTGCAGTTCGCGTGAAGCGAGTGCACAGCCGCTAAGATGCACTGCACTGCAAGGGTGTGAGAGCCAGGTGCTGATCGTTAGGGCGACGCACTGTGATGCACCGTGATGCACCGTGCACCCCGAGAGCGGGTGGGAATGTTGCAAATTGTCGCAGCCTCGCAAGCAGCCAAGGAAACTTGCGTTTGGGGTTCCGCAACTATAGGAGCCTTGACCAAAAAGGAGCGTCTCATGTTGGGCCCTTGCGCATGACAGCAAGACCTGCTGTAGTTTGGGCACATGAGCTTGAGGCAACATTAAAGCTAAGGACAGACGATGCAGCCACTTGAACTCACTTGTTGCCCTTCTCTGGAATGTCTACCTGCTTTTGCAGCCAAGGCAGTTCGCAAGCTCTTCGATCGCATCGACAGAGGGGGTGATGGTATCCCAGCTGCATTGAGCGATGACCACTTAGCTGCGAGCACCTGTTGTGCCGCTTCACGACTGTGACATGAAAGAACCGGGATGAGTATAATGTGATGAGGGTAGCTGTCCGGAGCCCAGGCCGTATCTCCATGCACGAACTAATGGGCTTTGTGCGGGAAGACTTGTGCCTCGTGCTGAAACATATGTGAAAGATCAGTCGTGGTCAGCTTGACGCCTTCCGAAAGAAAAAGAGGTCAGTACTACTTTGTGGCAGACAGAGGTGAGTTCTTAACAGCATTCCTCCACACTTCACTCCGCCGGCTGGCAATCTGTGGCACGCTGTGGCATCCTTTCGACTCGCTTGTTTACGGTGCTCAGGAAGCTCACAAAGTGGGATGTTTTTGAGTCAGCAGCTTGCCTGCATGCCAGTGTCTTGTGGTTATCGTCGGTGGGTTTTTGCCCAACTGGCTGCTTTGTCGGGATGTGACAAGGAAATGAAAGCCTTCTACAAAAGCATGGACGACAATGGTGATGGTGCCCCTTCTAAATGTGACACAGCGCTGGGTATGGGCAACAGTTTCATGCCAGGTGTTGTGATTTCAAGTCTTTTTGACTGTCGGTTGCTTCTCGGAAGGGCTGGATGCGAACGAGTTGGTCAAGTTCATTCGTCACACACGGGCCTCGAATGCCAAGCAGAACCAGCGCAATCAGATGGGCACTTATGCTTGCGACGAATTTGGGGGTCAAACTGGAAAACCGTTCTGGCATGTGAGAAGCACACAGACGCTGCTTCTTGTACCGGGTGATCATTCTTGGGCTCCCAGCTTCTATCTTCTATGGGGATAAAAAGAGTAATTAGGTGTTTCGACTGCGACCGCGTTGAGTTTCGTAAGCGCATGCTTTTCACAAGTCTCAAACTGAAAGAATGGTTGCCTGAGCCTAGCTTTTGTGGCGGCAGTCTAAAGTAGACATAGCGGTGACATAGTTGGTTTCCAATTCCTGAGCCCCAGCGGAGAACCCACAGCCAACGAATGTGGTCCTCAGCTTGCGACACCACCCCTTGTAGCTGGGTTCTCATAGTTCGTAGTGGATTGCCCCATCTTCGATTGTCAGTCTTAGAGTCTTACCCTGCAGTGCAGATGGGCTGCTAGGTGGGTGGCAACAACATGCCTTGAGAGGGCGGTGCCATGTCTGCTGCAGCTGGCTGCTGCTCTGCCCGCCCTGTCAAAGCTGCTGTTGGTGCTTGCCGCAGCAGGCCACTTGGCGAACTTTGCGATGTTCTGAGTGGAGCCCCCACAAGCTGCAGGTGGCCCCATGGACGGCGAGTGCCTGGGACCTCGGCCGCTCTGCGTGCCCAGGGTTGTCTGGAGGTCAGGCCTCACGAATCACGAAGCACATCTGCACATTGGCACAGCCTCCCCAGCCTTGCGATGGGCATCGGTGCCGAAGCTCACATGACAGCAGGAGGCTCAGCGAGCTGAGCAGCGCCAGGAGCTGCCACAAGCGCAGAGGGGATTCCAAGAGGCCGCCGAGCTGTGGCGGCTCGGCTGGAGCTACGCCTTTGAGGTCGCAGGGCCAACGCGACCCTGTCACCATGTGGGGGTTTCCGAAAATAGGGGTACTCTTTTTGGGGGCCCGTTAAGGGGATTCTATTCTATTTTGGGGTATAAAAGGGGTATTACCCCTTTATGCTTCAAAATCGTGCCATTCTCGCAGCTGGGCCGAGGTCGCGGCTCTCCGGCAGTGAAGCCCTCGCAGCTGAGGCATGGGCCGAGGCAAGGGCGGCAAGATGCGGCACGGCATTTCATCAAAGATGCATTGCCAATGCACTGCGGATCTGTAAGCACGTACTTCTGATTCGTCAACACGGGCCTCGACATGTTGCTGCTATCTGCAAGCCGCATCAGGATGCTTCGAGTTGTCGTGGTTTGACGAGGCTAGCCGCCTGCGCCTGGAGCTTGGGGCGCCCTTCGACGCCGTGGCGCCTGGGAAGCATTTGCAGAAAATCACAGGGCCACTAGAGGGGCCTCGACCAACAAACCGTTTGCGGTCTCGACCAACAAACCGTTTGCAGTCTCAAGACATGGGTTGTGGAAGGGAGGCGGAGGCCTTTTGTCGTCAATATGCGTATTGAAGCTATGTAGCATAGCAGTTTCAAGCACGTTGAAGCATTTGTGATGGCACATAAACAAGCTCACGCCATGTTGGGTCAAAGGGCGGCACTTGTGGCGCCCATACAGGCATACATTTCCCGAGGCCCAAAGCTGCAAAGGCACTCTTTCCGACACACTGGCGAGCGGTAGTTCGAGCATCAGCAAATGGTAGACGCCGGACTTCGATGTCCAGAGAATTTGCCAAGCGACCACAAAGATCAAGCCGTGCCCGTGATACCGTAACAAACTGATGAAGTTGAGGCCATCCCGAACCACCCCCCCCCCCCCACATTCATTACACATGCATTGGGCAGGTAGCTTGCGAGCATGGCCTTCGGCTCAGCACCCGGCACTGGCGCCTGGGTTTCCTCAGCGCCCTTGCCCTGGAGTCCGTGGGTATACTCAGCACTGCGGAGGCATACGGAATTCGCAGATTGCAAGAGAACATCTTCATATCAGGAACCGGATAGAAAAGCGAGACAGAGAGGCACCCTTTCTGCAGGAGCGGCTCCAGCAGGCGGCCCGGCTCCTCACCGGGAGCGAGGCAGCATCATGAGAGCGATATCACAGGAAGAGCATCGGAGAGCATCCACCCCCCTTCTCTCAAAAGTATGATTCCTCTCAAATTTCTCTTGAATGGAGCAACTTCCCCTTCTTGCAGGCCGCGCAGATGAAGGAGCCCCTCTCTGCGGTCCTGGAGGCCTTGCGCCGGGTCCGCGCGCGGACCGCGCAGCTGGCGAAGGGAGAGCCGCAGGTGCCCGGACGCTTGTTAGGGTTTAGGGTTCAGGGTTCAGGGCTTACTTTGGGTTTAGGGTGTAGGGATGTTTAGGGTTTAGGGTTTAGGGTTTAGGGTTTAGGGCTCCTTGGTGAGGGAAGGACAGAGGAAGCCGGGCATTCGCCAGGCGCTTATGGAAGAAATCCAGAGGATGGGCGCACTGCTGGGTGACAAGGAGGCAAGAGATGGGCAGTTCTTCCGTTCTCCGAAAGCCGAGAACTAATGGGCAAAAACTTTTGAAGACCAGATTTGCCTGCAAACCTCTGCCTGCTGTTGACTTAAAGCTCGATTTGGGGGTTTACGATATTAGGGCGTGCCTTGTTGGGGTCCTTCTTATAAGGGAATCCTACTATTTGGGGGTTTATGTTTTGGGGTACCCCTATGTTCGTAAACCCCCATTTGACAGGCCGGCTACTGGATAAGCAGCGTCGGAGAGTGCAGCCGCAGCGCGGAGGGCCAGGCGGAGCTTGTTCAGAAAGGCCAGCGGGACGGACCAAAACACACAGGGGGACAGCAGCTTCTGTGCAACATGACACTTCGGCTGATGAATGTGTGTGTGTGTGAGAGAGAGTGTTGCTTGTATTCTGGGTTCTTGTTTTTCATGATTATATGTGTTGGGGGTATTTGGGGGGTGGTGTGCATGAATGTGCAAAAAGTCTCTGCTGGTTTGGGTGGGGTGGGGTGCAAGATGTGCTGTCCTAGCAGGCTTTCTTGATGCGTCGCAGCTCGATGTGAAGCAGCCTGTGGCGGTGGCGAGGAGGGCGAGCTTGGTGGCAATGAGGCGCGTGGAGATGTTTTGGCAGCTTGAGACTGTGGCCCCACAACCCCGCCCGTGACCTGCAAAATGCATGCCAGTGCTTTGTGTCTGAAGCACCTTCATGGCTCTTGTGGTTCAAGCTTGTCTGCTGGCACTGCGAGGGTGCCATGTCCTTCTTTTCGAGCTTCGCCGCGCCACCCTGGAGCGGGAAAGGGAGAGGCCGTGTTTATGCAAATGTTGCCGAGGCAGTTGGGAACACCCCATGTGTCAAGATTTCAGAGGCCATTTGCCCGAAAGGGCGAACGATATATGCCAAGCTGGAGTATTTTAACCCCATGTCCAGTGTCAAGGACAGGACAGCATGTGCGATCATAGAAGACGCAGAGAGGAGAGGCCTTTTGAAGCATGGCTCCGCCGTGGTGGAGGCCACTTCAGGAAACACCGGCATATCGATTGCAATGCTTTGTGCTCAACGCGGGTACCGCTGCATTATCGTGTTGGCGGAGTCGTTCTCGATCGAGCGCCGCAAGCTCATGCGATTCCTCGGGGCAAAGGTCGTTACCACCCCCAAGTCCGCAGGAGGTACCGGCATGATCGCCAAGGCAAAGGAGCTGGCCGAGAAACACGGTTGGTTCCTGTGCAAGCAGTTTGAGAACGAAGCCAACGTCAGTTTTCACTATGAGACTACAGGCCAAGAAGTTCTGCGTGACTTTCAGGGCGAGCGCTTAGATTACTTCGTGGCTGGCTATGGCACAGGAGGCACCTTTGCCGGAGTGGGCAAGGCCATCAGGGAGCAGAGGCCAGAGGTGAAGCTGTGCCTTGCCGAGCCAATGGAGGCACCCATGGTGAGGTCAGGCACCGCCACGGAGCGCCACGAGGATGCGAGCCCGGCCATATCCCATCCAGCCTTCAAGCCACATCCCATCCAGGGCTGGGCCCCGGATTTCATCCCCAAGATTGTGGAAGATGCCGCGTTGGACCCCGGCTTCCACCAAGTTGTCCCCATACCTGGGTCAGGTGCCATTGACATGTCAAGGAAGCTTGCTGCCACCCAGGGTATCTTCACTGGCTTTTCGGGAGGTGCCGCTGTGCTCGCAGCTGTCCAGGTTGCCAAGGATGCGCCTGAAGGCTCGGTTGTACTGACGGCTGCTCGCTTTCATGGTGCTCCGCTCTTTCCTGTGATGTATCTAGTTGGTCTTATGGAATAGGTAGTCCAGTCCAGGGTGGGGCAAGCCTGTCAAAGTGACCGCACGAGGGCAGAATGTGCATGCTAAATTTCGTGCGCGACCCAGGTGATTGCAGACACCGGCGAGCGATACTTGTCAACGCCGCTCTTTGCGGAGGTTAGCGCCGACATGAATGAAGAAGAGATTCGCATCTCCCAGTCAACGCCAAGCTTCCAAATCGCTGCTGGCACAACGTGACTGTCGCAGTTCCTTCCACCGTTCATTGCAGTTCGTTGTCACTAGTGTTTCACGCTTGGCCTCAGTTGACATGGAGCGATGAATCAGTCGCTCCCTTCTGAGGATTCCTAAAGGCAGCTTCGCGAGCACTTGACTGTGTTGGCTGAGGTTTTAGTGCAACAACTCGGTTTTAGGGCCTGGCTAGCGCGCTTCGCTCAGTGACGGGAAAACTTGTTGACCTTGAATGCTGTCAAATGTATTGCTTGGTGATGCCTGTGATTCTGTGCTGGCGTTGAGAAAGGGAGCGAATTTGGAGAGGTATCGCATCAACAAGAAGTTGCAGCGGTATCTCTCTGGAGCCGGGCTCTTGCAATCGCCTCAGATGCAGGGCGTAGCCTGATGGGAGGATCACTCTGTGCTGACTCTGACGCCCGAGTCTCCGCGAACCTCAGCGATCACAAACAACATTGCCATGGAATGCCAGCAGCATGTAGTAGTAGCTGGAGGGAGGGACGCGTGCAGCGTTTCTGGGCGTGACAAAAGTCAAGCTTGGCTATCGGCTGGCGCAGAAGTCCCAGGCTTGGAGTCGCTGAGCAGTGCGTGCTTCCGAAGGCCCGGCAGTATTGTTGCGAAGCAGTGCAGCATAGGCTTAGAGTCTTAGAGGCTTAGCGTAGCGTAGCCAAAATCCACACACCTTTGGCCCGGGGTTTCGCATGCACGCGCAGGGGCGAGCAGGGGGGCAGGCTGAAAGATCGGGGCGAGCGTGTTGGCGAGCGTCTTGGCGAGTGTGTTGGCGCACCTCGCACACGCCGCTCGTGCATCTCGCATGTGAGCTTGGCTCCTCGCTTTCGCGCACGCCCACCGACTTTTGCACACTACTCGTGCTCTTGTCAGTGCAATTTGCGCCTAGATTTTTCAATCAAGTAGTCATGCTAGTGCATGCTGTGGCGGCAGTCAAGGAGAACCATGGGAAGCATGTTGTTGTGAATGGATGGTGCGAAGAAGCTATGGGCCCTTCCAGTAGCTGGGAGCCCCAGAGTCGACACTCTGCCAGGCACTTTGCCACCCGGGTGCTGCGGAGCTGCTAGGCGATGCCGCGGAGGTGCTGAAAAACCGGCGCCTGGCAGTGGCGACTCGATGGCCAGGGAAGACTCGGGCACGAAAATAACACTGCGGGGGCGAACGACCAGAAGTTTCGGCCAGAAGTCGCCATAAATCAAGGTTCTCCTTGGTGTTGAAAAGTTTTTTTTGTTCCACACCCTTGATGTTAGATTTTAAAACTCAGCTCTTCTCCTCGCCGGAAATTTTCTCTTCGCCCGGTCGACTCCCCCATCCCTGGAGTGCCCAATATCAGAGAGTCCCTGAGCGCCCATCCCCAGTTGCAAGCACATATTTAACAAAGCGTATATGAATCAACGTGCCTTTTTGTTTGAGCATCTTATTTGCATTCTTTCTTTTTAACGAGGATCAAGGTGGGGTTCGAAGTAAAATGATTCTTCTACATCCTCCCCAACTTCCGGGAACGCTGTCTGGGATTCATCGATTTTTAGTTTTCCTGGTTTTGCACCTTACTTGTGTTTATATAGGCAGGCTGCTGCAATACTAGTACCGCCACCAGAAAAGCAACTACGCCAGCGAGCACCACCACAACCACTACTACTGCTGCTGCGGTTGCTGCTGGTTACCGCATGATACTTTGTTACTGGTTACTTGTTGACTATTTTTTAGCTTGTAGTTTTCACTTGTTACTTATTTCTACTCCCATTCCTAATCCGGCTCCTATTTCTGTTCCTACCCTATTCCCATGACATGCATTCTCGCGCGCCCTCATCCCAGTCCGAGCGCCGAGAGTGTGGAGAGGTCCCGTGTGTTCAGTGGGGTGGGGTATGCTCAGCTTCAGGAGATGGAGGGTCTAGTAGGGTCTCCTTCAGTTCACTGGTCCTCGCAGTCTCTAGCTGGTGACTGATAGCGGCTCTCAGGCCATGCCGCCTGCTTTATCAGACGGATTTTGGCATGCGCAGATTCGCCACTCAGGTAGATGGCGCATTTCCTGCGGATGCGATTGCACAGGTGCCAAGAGGTTTGTGATTCGGTTGGGTTTCCGGGATGATGTATAAGTGTTGAGGTTGCATGTCTTGCCGCATTTTGCCGGTAAACTTGCTAGACCCATACTCGAAAATCCAAAATCTCATGCGCGTTTGTGAGGGGATGCATGATGATCGGACACGATATGGGGAATCACAACCGTGTGGCAGGTGCAAGCGGAACTGAGGAAGCTTCGAAGTGAGCGAGTCTTACAGCACCTGGGCGTAAGTTTGGGATGTGGTGTTTGTTAGTGACAGCTCTGCAAGCCACGGGCGCAGCATTTCTCTGCTTCGCACTCAAATGTCTCTAAGGAATGACGTGAATGATGTATGCAACCCGCTTCAGGACTCATGAGAGATGCAGTGCGGTTTACGATTGCGTCAATGCTGCAATCTGCTACAATGTTCTGCGGTGCAGACTCCCGATGTGGTGTCTTTGAGGAAGCGAAGTATCTTCCGTATGGTGCCGATGATGCAGCGCGTGACTTCCGTGCCAAGTGTCCCATAACGATGCAGGCCGCACCATGGTGTCTGCCTTCTGGGGGGTGGTGTATTTGTACACGTTGCACATTGTACAGACACAACCTGACAGCCTGGCGGCTTGGGAATAGGACTGAGGATTGGGGGAGAAATGGGAACATGTGGAGAAGGGTCAGAGTGTCCAGGTTCTGGCATACCCACATACTGTGCGGAATGCGATCTGTGTACCCCGCCCGCTAACGGACATCGAACTGGCTCGACCTCGTAGCAGAATCATCTCGTGTTGCCGCTCGAAGCCCCCCTCGAATGTGACAGCGGCTGCAGGTGACGCAGGCATTGGCCGGCCTGGCGGCAGTTCTAGAGGATCTCTTAGGCGGGTGAATGCGGGTGATGGATGGGGTGTTCATGGTATTCAGCCAAGTTGTACAGCAGAGCGCCGGCATGCCCGAAGGTTTGCGCCTGGCGGTGCCTCAGTCTGTCATGGCTGCCTGCTATCCCCCTCGGGCATCCTACAAGATGCACTTGGACAGCTACTTCCGACAAGGCCTCGTGCTTCAAATGGCGACAGCTTGAGGAAATGGGCATTGATCGATGTGGCTCTCAAGGTCCCCGTAAAAAAATCCACGAAGGGACAGGCAGGTAGTATGCAAGAAGGGGCGGGCAGGTAGTATGCCTTTGCGAAATTTCCGCGATGGCACCGTGAGAGCAGCGTTTATAGAGTCTTCTTTTGGTGGAAGTTGTTGAACCCAGCTGTCGTATCTTCCATGCTCTCAACATCCTCGCGCTTGATGTTTCGCTTCGTTTGTTTCGTCGACGGGACAAGCATGATCTCTTGAGAGTTTCCTTTTTGTTTCCCGTCGGAGTTTGCATGCGTCTGCGTGGGTAGTTCCCCTCCTTCAAAGCCAGGTTGTGTATGTTCTTGTGCATGGTGGCCTTTCGGGAGGTGTTCTTTTTCTATTCCAACCCTTCTCAGAAAGCAACGCGTACACACAAGCTCAACCATGTGATGCTCAGCTCGAAGATTGAACTCGCTACAGTGCTAGGGGACGACACACTCAATCAGCCGACACTGTGGTTGGACCTGACACTGTCCATATAGCAGACCCGCGCAAACTTCACAACAGTACGTGTCAACGAAGATGTCCTGGCGCGATGGGTCTAGACCAATGCCCAAGATCGAAGCATTCGGGCCGCCAGCATGAGAACGAAGGCTTAGAAGTCATTCGATCTCTGGTGCCAGGTCAAAGGCTTAAGTATGATGGGCCTAGTGGACATAGGCTGCTGGTTGCCGGCACAGTCGCGCATTGCGCAGGCTGCCTGGATGATGTGCCACGCAAAGCGGCGTGGCTGAACGCTGCAATCAACAAGTTCTGAGCATACTTCCCAGCCCTTGTGCTGCCTAGGTCACAGTGCTGCTGTACTGCAACCACGGCTGGAGCAGCAAGGTGGGTGGCGAGCTCCGGGCCTGGGCGCCTTTTGACCAAGGACGGGGTGGAAGGGACTGGCTCGTCTGATCTCGCGAGCCATCCTTGTGTTGCTTGCACTGTGAATCACATGTCCTTTGGGGCATGTCATGGCATGTTCAGTGTGAGCTTTCAGGCCAAGGCCCGGCACAGACCATTGAGCCGCTTCCGGGGCGCATGGTGGTTTTCATGTCAGAGGCTGGGCATGCTGGGCATGGGGCGTGTGGTGGCTGGAAAGCCCGTTGGCTTGTGACAGTAAACCCTAAACCCTAAACCCCAAACCAGAAACCCTAAACCCTAAACTCCTTGGCTTGCTTGAGGGTGGTAGCACCCCGCCACATCAGGAAATCTGGCACGAGGTCCTCGAGTCGCACGGTGAGCGTTTCGCGCTGACGCTGTGGGTTCATGACCGCGAACGCGCAGAGCTGCACAACAGCTGAAAACAGTTGATAATGGTTGACTTCTCGTGTATTTGTTTCGTCTTGGACGAATCGTTCAAAAGCTCTGTGATGAAGTAGCTGTTCAGCTTCTCTCTTCTCACCAGTTGGCTTAGTGTTTGCCAGGAGGCCTCGGTCACACTTGTAGGTGGTGCGCAGTGCGCATGACCACGTCATCTGTATTCGGAAACAGATTGGCCGACTGTTTGCTGCAGCAATCTATGCATTGCTGGCTGAGTGCTGCTGATGGCATGGTGTGTGGTGTTTCGCCACTGAGGGTTGAGAAGTTCAGCTTCGTGGAGGACACCAGTCCGGCGGCACAGTGCGATCAGTATGGCCGGCAGATGTGATATCGCAGCCATCCGTGAGGGTTCGCAACGGCATGCCTTGTCCACCTAGTGATCCATTGTCTGAGGCACATCGTCCTCCCAGCTGCGACGCAGGCCCACCTATCGCGTCCAGCTCCTGTCAGATCGAATGCCGAAGGCAGGACTCGGGCAGTGGCGGTAATCCGGGCTGGCAGTTGTAGCATCAGGGCCTAGGTATTCCCACGCGCAAATGGGGAACTGAGATTACACACGCGTGGCATGGCTTGTGTTGCAACAACTTCGGCCTTTCCCCCGTGAGAGAGAAATAGGCCAATCAAGCTGCCTTCTGCCCCTACCCCACATTCGCCCAGTCCCAGAGTGCTGGGGAGCTGAGGACCCGCAGAGGGCGCAGTATGCATTTGGGTCCGGTGGATAGGTACAAGATCGTACAAGCCCGTGACGATGTTGAAGGGCACTTTGCCGGTTAAGTGGGTTCTGCCCTGCGCAGTGAAATCATGTCAGCAAGTGGTATAGGATCTGTCGTATCGCCCGTGGATGGCACCGTGAGGAGCAGCAGCCCTACCTTTGTTTCGACGCCGTCTTTTGTGAACCTGGGCAGAAGCAGGCTCTTCAGTGGCTTCAGTTTCAGCTTATGAATTCTAGGCGTGCGTGGTGAAAGCTTAGATTACCTGCCCCTTCTTCCGGACAGGCCGCCGATCGTGCGCTGAGTGTCGAACCTGACATGAGCTTGGTGACACGATGCAATCTAATTACTGGCAGACGGGCTTGGGATTTACGGGCTGCGCGAAATCCGCCAGAAAGCTGGACTCACAATGATCATAAAGCTATGACCTCACATAGACGTGGTGGCGGTACCGTGCGTGAGATGGACTCAGGGTGTGCGTATTCGAAATGTGGAGGTGGAGTTAGGAAAGCTCCCGACGATTGTCACCACTCTTGACCCAAAGGGTTGCGAAGGAGTGAAGTTTCATTTTCCAAGCCGCAAGCTGAAGTTGCACCTAGTGATCCTGGCAAGCTTGTGTTGCCATGGTAAGCCTCAGCCGACAATCGGTTGGATTGCTTCATGCAGGTGAAGGCACTCCACGTATGCGGTGCCGGACAAACATCCAACAATGAGTCACAGAGATGCAGACGGACTGTGCATTCCTGGACGAGTGTAAGACTGCATGCCGCAGCCGTATGCATTTCTCCGAGTGCCAGACTCTTGCCTTGCGATAGTCTAAAGCTTGTCACGTGCCGTGTGCCGGATCCCTTTGAAAGAGCCGCTTGCTTAACTATGTGGGCATACTACGCTCGCCGAGCCTTCATACCACACGCTTGGCAGGGTTGCAGTCAGCTTGTTCCCATGCGTTCCTGCACTTGCCATTGAACTGCGAGGCCATGACCAAGCAAGGAGGCCAGGTTTGGAGCCCGTTTGGCGGTCGCAGTTTTGAAGTCCGCAGCTTTGTGCAGGTGCAGACTATGCGAAGCCAACGGAGGAGGAGGCTGGGTGCCTTCCTGCGAGTGTGATTTCTTGTGCTCGTCTGAACTTGCGGCCATGACACCCAGCCTGTTTCCGTCTGAACTTCTATCGCCCTTTCATCATCTTCGGCCCACAGGCCAGTTTGGAGTGCTCCACTTCGGCAGCTTCACAGGAAGTACAGGACTGCCAGAACATGTAACAGGAGTCCAGTTTACGCAATGCGGAGTGGAAAGGTGCTGCGAAGCGATGCCAATGCCGGGTGGCATGTCTGTGTCGTGCCATCCAGGAGGAGAGACGGCTCGACGTGTCGCAGGAGCGCTCCTCGAAGACACGCCGCAGCCCTGAACTACCTTTGTTTCGATTCTCCGTCGAGAACTTGGTTTGTGGGTTACATTGCCAAGCAAACGTCGTAAGGCTGGGCAGATGTGGATTCAGATGATGAGGATCATCATGGCTTTCTAGGTCTCACTGCGAGAGCATCAGTGCCAGCCGAGATGCCAGGGCAAGCTGAGATACTCGCCTTTGCAAAGAACAGGCTTCCGAACTTGGGGCTAATGCACATCCCATTTTGGACACTCTTGGCTCGGGCTCAAAGCGTGGGATCTCGAGACGTCGGATCGTCCTCGCGCACTCTCAAATTTGATACATGAGCAACGTGGACGAGCGGCTCAGGAAGCGACTTTGATGACCCCTCTTGGTCACCTTGCGAAGTTCGGGCAAGCCCCTCCTTGGCTGCCTTTCGGCGCCCTGCTATGGTGTATCTGTGTGCACTGGGGGGTAGCAGCAGCACAACTGCCAGACTGGCCGAAAGCCACACACCCCCACCGCCGCCACCCATAGCAAGTCGCGTCGAAGGAGGGGCGAACAACCAACACATCACCAACACAGAAGCCCTGCCCAACCCAGTGGGGGGAACGGCCAACTTCGAAGAACTCGACAGAGGCGTCTTCATCCCTTTTGGTGCAAGTCCAGCTATCGGCAGTGTGTTTGTTGGCAATGCATGGACGCCAAGCATGGCAAAACAACGTTGCAGTTCTTTCTCACAGAGCAGGTAGCCATTCGCTCTCGCTCTCTCGCTCTCTCGCTCTCTCGCTCTCTCGCTCTCTCGCTCTCTCGCTCTCTCGCTCTCTCGCTCTCTCGCTCTCTCGCTCTCTCGCTCTCTCGCTCTCTCGCTCTCTCGCTCTCTCGCTCTCTCGCTCTCTCGCTCTCTCGCTCTCTCGCTCTCTCGCTCTCTCGCTCTCTCGCTCTCTCGCTCTCTCGCTCTCTCGCTCTCTCGCTCTCTCGCTCTCTCGCTCTCTCTCTCTCTCTCTCTGTCTCTCTCTCTCTCTCTCTGTCTCTCTCTGTCTCTCTCTGTCTCTCTCTGTCTCACTCTGTCTCTCTCTGTCTCTCTCTGTCTCTCTCTGTCTCTCTCTGTCTTTCTCCCTCCCCCTCTCTCTCTCTGTCTCTCTCTGTCTCTCTCTGTCTCTCTCTGTCTCTCTTTGTCTCTCTCTCAAGCCCAAGTCCTTTGGCGTCCCAGTCCATCCCAAGTCCCACTCTCAACTGCACGACGCTAGTCCCTCCCAGCGAGATTCCTGAGACCCCAACCCCACTCCCAACAAGACCCCAAAGACGGCTGTATCGCGCTCTCAACAAAACATCCAAGACCCTTGGCATGCCACTCAACAAGCTTGACACACTACTGAACGGAAGCCCGAGCTTCCCTGCGCAGCTACTCCAGTCCGGGCCCTGGCCGGGCCCACCCAGAAGGCCAACTCCGAAGCCCTCAGTCGGATAAACGCTCAGTTGAAAGACCAAGCCCCAAGCCTATCACCCAACGCATAAACCGCACCAAGCCGAGCCGCGAAAAGCCTCGTATCATAACCTCAAGGAAAACAACAGGAACGGGCCCGGGCAAACATTCAATGCGCCCCGGTTCGCTCAGTACTCGTTCCTCCCGCCTCCTCCCTAAACCACGGCTCATCCTTCCTCACTCTCTGCAGTTGCCCGGTGGAGCTTGGCGAGACGTGTGGCAAAAAACCCTAAGCCCCAACCCTTCGAAACCTAGCTTTAAAGTTTTTCGCCCTCAACATCCTACACCCTAAACATCCTTAAACCCGAAGACGCCTAATTTTTAGAGTTTCTATATCTTCGCAGCATTGCGCAAGCGACGTCTCGAGATCGCACACCTTGAGCCCGCGCCAAAGTCCAAAAGCGGATTTGCGCTTTTGCCAAGTCCGGAAGCATGTTCTGGGGTGTCGGTATGCAGTGCACACAGCCTTCGTGGTTTGCATTGACGCTGGAGTGCTGTCTTGCGTGTTGTTTGCAAGCGGATCCTTGTTTGTTTTACGTAGCATATCATATGAGTCATATATGAGTCATATGATATGAGTGCAGATGGTGCAGTGCTTTGGCTTTGCTGTTCGAGAGCTAAGGAGCGATGAAGAGGAAGAGGAGGAAGACGAAGACGACAACGGCCAGGGGTCTGATGAGCGGCTCGAGGAGGAGTGGCAAGAGGCGCTTGCACGCAGAGTCTTAGCATGTTTTTCGCCGTTTAGTTGCGGCACCCGCTCATGGTTTTATTCAACTTAGGCTCAGGTAGCAATCTGTACCTCTGACTGCTTTACAGCAAGTATGCAAGAATGAGCTTTGCTCTACGACGAGGCTTATCTGCCAATTTATGTGGGGCAGTGACCGACACAGCGCTTGAATTGGGGGCCACGCCAGGTGAAGAGAGAGAAGAAGCCGAAAGCCATGCCAAAACAGGAAGCGAGCAGGCCATGCAGCATGCAGGTACATGTCGGCCTCAGGAGCCTTCGGAAGCCATTCATGGCCCTGCTCGGCGAAGGAATACAGTCGGAAGAAGCACAATCACAAATGACAACCTCACCCCTTCATTCCCCGCTGGCCAGCAGCTCTTCTTGTAGGCCCCGCCGCGAGCGCCGCGACCGAGGGCGCCGAGGCGAGGACCGCAAAGATGGCAAAGACGGAAAAGATGGCAGGAAGGCGCCGGCCTTGCGCGAAAGCCTGAGCCCTCACAAAATTTCTGCTGTGCTGGATCCCCGGGACATTTTTGTAGTGGGCTCGAAGTCATTCCGCTGATCTTGACAGCTCGTGACGCCCCCAAAAAGTTGGCGATGCAGCTGGGGCCCCCCAGAAACGTAGATGCAAGATATATAAACAACAGAGTCGCCCGCAAGGATAAGCAAAGGCGAGACGCGGCGCAACAACGCGTGGGGAGACAGTAAAGAGACTAGCTTAGCTGTAGATGCTTAGAGGCCAAATCTTCCTGAAGTAAGTGCTGACTTGGTTGCAGGAGGAGAATGACAAGGACAAAGACGGCCAGCAATCCACCAGGAGAAGAGAGTCTGCTAAAACATGCTTGTGTCAGGGATCACCCTTGCTGACCTTTCCTGGGGTGTGTGTGTGTGTGTGTTGACAGTACAGTACTGTAGCATATCAGTATAGTGTTTAAATGCATCTATATTTCAATTATATCTGGTATACAGTACATTCCGTATTATATATATATACACATCTATTGTGTGCATGACGTTCGGATTGTGTGCAGGAGGCGCCGAGATGGCGATAGAAACCGCCGGGACAACCGCAGAAGAGCAGGTTCGGAAGCTCAATGCCCTTTCATTCAGGGATAACTTAAAGTGCAGCGTATGCTACTATGCTACAAGTCCTAACGTGAATTTTAGTATGCTCCCTGTAGTCAAGGGGAATTGAGCTCCTTGGGGATTTTCATCAGGGTGGCTAGATGCCACCAGGGTGGTGCTTCATACCCATAGTTTGGCAGCCCTGTCATTGCAATGACCATCCCAACGCTCAGTTTTTGTGCATGTAGGTGCTGGTGCAGGCGGAGGTGAGAATCTCCAGCCGCGGCAGGCTGGTGGGATGGTCGATTGCTGGTTCCAGAAGTTGGGGAGCTTAACAGCGGCTTGATTACCTCCGGAACATCTCAACATTCACTCCAGCAGCTCTTGAGGACGACAAGAAGCCACAAGAGAACGCGTGGAGGCGTAAGGAAAGCGGTGAGAAGGACGAGGCAGCTCGGCCGCCTCGGCTGTTGTTCAGGGGTTTCTTGAATTGGACACAGAACTGTTTGTTCAAAATAGGTCCTTCTAGCAACCCTTTGTTCGGGGTAGTCCTTGTGAGATGACGCCATCGTGCGCTGCATCCCTGAGCAGGTGCCAAAGCCCAAGGAGCAACCGAGAGAGAGGAGGCAAGCCCTAAACCCTAAACCCTAAACCCTAAACCCTAAACCCTAAACCCTAAACCCTAAACCCTAAACCCTGAACCCTGAACCCTGAACCCTGAACCCTGAACCCTGAACCCTGAACCCTAAACCCTAAACCCTAAACGAGGCCGCAGAAGGATCCCAGGGAGCCCAGGGAGGTGAAGGAGCCGAAGGAGGTGAAGGAAGCCAGGGAGCCAAGGAAAGAGGGCGGTAAACCCGCCGAGAGTCAGGCGCGCCGGTTTCTGACATGCTGGAGTGTCTGACATGCTTCTGACATGTCTCTTTTTTTTTTGGTAGAGTTTCTGACATGTTTTTGTAGAGTTTCTGACATGTTGTTTTGTAGAGTTTCGGACATGCTTCTGACATGTTTCGAGTTGCTGACATGGTATGCAAGTCTTCCAAGGAGGATGCTTGCACAGTTTCGCACATGTACACATGGCACCCTTGCATGGCCTTACCATCCGGAAGGGCACCAGGAACCTCGGCGAGGGAGATTCGAGCAAATTCCGCCCACCGAATAGGAGGCTCAGCTCACAGGGGGCATGGTCCAGCACGACTCTGTTAGCTCGTGTGTTTTGGGGGGGTGTCTTCCTTGCGTTCTCTCGCGTCAGCGCCACCACTGTGGGCTCAAGTTCCAGGTCGCAGGACTCACAGCCTCGGCAGTCTCGACAGACTTCGGGTTCAGAGCTGAACGTCACGTGAGTACAGTCTCAAGTCTCAAGGGGTTCAAGGGAACATGGGCCCTTGATGACCTTTGCTCAGGCCGTTCCGAGGAGGGTCGCAACCGTGGTGACCGGCGCAGGCAACAAAGGGCTTGGAGCACGGGGGCAGCTGTGGAATGATTTTGTAATCTCTTCCTCCAGGTCTGGTAATGGGAACCGAAACCAAGGCCACAGTGCTGAGGACAGGGTTACACAGTCGGTTAATGCTTGTCCATCCGGCACGAATCCACGGCATTCCTCAGTCATGACTCGGAGTCCCAGTTGATTGGGACAGGATTGGTTTGCAAGTCGAATGGCTGCCGCCGGACCTGATATAGCCTGATATACTGATCAGTTGCAGAAGATCCACGTGTGGACATGCTTTTTCGTTCTGCAGCCCACTTTGCTAAGAATGAGTGCTGAGACCCAGGCGGCCTGACTCTGGCCTGACGTCCCTTCACCTATCTTCGTCGTCGGAGCAGTGCAAATTGAACGCAAGAAGACTTTCGCAGCTTTTTATGCTGCAGCTCTTCCATGGACGTGTCGCGCAGTCTTGAGAGCCCCTGCTGCCGACAAGCAATGTTAGCCTCAATGACATCTAGGTCCACCCCCTCCCCCATCCAGAACAACAAAGGTTCCTTATGTTCGTCACCGAAGTACAATGGCTGGGATCCACACCAAGTGTTCTAGATGTGGGCTGACTCCTTTTGGCATTGCCGCTCAAAGAGAGATGTCGATTTTCGGTCCGTGTTGTTGTTACGTACTCTTTGGCAGAGGTCGGGTTTGTGTTGAGTTGATGGTGATGCTGTGGCTGCCAGCCCTCGTCATCGCGTAGCCCGCGAAGCAGTAGCCGCATTACCTTTAGAACAGCCTTCTGAGAGACTTACCAACACATTTGAGAGTTTTTAACCTGTCGCAGTCATGTCGCATGCGCGCCTCCTGCGTGCCGTGCGAAGTTTGAAACATTGGCGCCGCCATTTTTGTGGATCCTTCCTCCTTACCATGCCGAATGCGCCGAGTACGCCGAACACGCCGAATGCTGGTCTCTCTCGTGTGGGCAGCTTAAAGCTGAAGACGGCTTCCAGGCTTTTGTAAGCCTCGCACTTTGCTTGGCTCTGCTGGGAGTGGCTGGGGTCTTCGCTTGTGACATGCTAACGTATTTACACCGCATGCTTGTGCCGGTACGTGCAAGTTTCAATCAACTCCTTCAGTTTCCGCCACTCTGCTGCCAGCCATGCTGCCCATCCTCGTGAGATGGATAGAGATTAATGTAGCCCTTGAAGAGCTCTTGAAGAGCATGTCAGCAGTGCATGGGTGCCCCCCTTTGATCCTCGAGCTTGACGGACCTTGGGATGGAGACATTCTGAGCGGCGTTGGGGGGGAACCCAGCAGTTCATTCTCAAAAGCAGGTGCCCGGCCTTGCTTCCTTGATCTTCAGCAACCCTCTATTGCTTGTGACAGAACGCCTGACAGTTCCTTGTCATCGGAATCAAAGGCGCCCTGGAGGGCAGCAAGGCTCAGTACCAGCTGGAAGAGGCCAATGTCAAGCCTCTGAGAGTTGGTTTCATGTTGATGTTTCGTGGATCTGGCGCTCCATTTCGTGGATCTCGATTTTGGCACAGGACGTGCGCTGTAGCATGAACTCCCTACCAGTAGCGTTACATCTTGCCTTTGCGGCATCTTTTTTCAAGGGATGGGCAGCGCTCGAGCGCAGCACAGCACAGCTGATGTGTAGAATTTTGGAATGAAATCTGGAATCAACAGAGACGGAATCGGGAATGACTTCATTTGGCATTTGGTGAGCTCCTGAGCGCAGCGCATCCGGGCCCCTTCATGGGGTCTTGTGCGTGAGCAACAGTTGCTGACGCTGAATAGTTGTTGAATTTATGGCAGATGTTGCGAGCCTGTGAGACAAGCAAAGCTCATTCACGGCTCTGAGAGGTTCGAAGTTTGGCGGTCGATTGCCACTGAGGCTGTAAGCCCTCTCAACAACCTCCAACCGTTTATGCTGCGTTTATGCATCTGGTCACTGCCTATACGAGCCTCATCGCTGCCACAGTTTCTCCGGATGAGCAACGTGAAGGCTGACATTGCGTTCGGCACGTTATCCCGTAATGTTAGTTGTACTCTTCGCAAGAATATCGGCCCCCGGGAGCTGGTAAGATCAGGCCATGCCAGCTAGGCATGAATCCTGAACTCTGGCGGTAAACTCAGTGCACGCCTCAGCCCTCATGCCACGCGGAATGACAGGCCCCTTGGGCACCGAGGGGTATATATATATCTAGAGGTTCAGATGCTCTCGAGAGCGCATCGAATCATGGAAATGTGTGGACCTTTGAAGTCTGGAAAGGCAGGAGTGTAGCAAGTCTAACCGGGGCACGTTGGTGTCAAGCGGGTGAATCCTAGATTCACAGAGACCAGGCCTTTGCAGAATTGTCTTCAATGAGACGCCGGTAAGCCATGCGCACGTTTGAAAGACTTTCATGAAGCAAGCAGCTTGCAGCATCCATGTGCTTGCAACTTGCAGGCGTTGCATGATATTGTCTGCAGCTCTAGCAGTGAATTTGAATGCTGCGAGCTGCTCCTGTTTGCAGGACGCGCTGCAGGGTTGTGAAGTTTTCGTGCGACTACGGGCTTGAACACTGGTTAATGTTTTTGACAACGTCATGTGGCGGCGAAGTAGGAAGGAAGATGGCCTAGGTTCATTGCCCTGCTGCGCCTTGCGGCAGAGAGACACATCATTCGACAAGGCGATCTTACAACAGCAAGTCGGTCACCAAAAGCCATAGCCCATGGCCTTGGTTCTCAAAAGCCATGGCCATCGAAGCGCCGTGCGGCGGCTGCTTTGCTTGAGATAGGAGCTGGGTCCTGGGTAGTAAAAACCCGAAACTTTCTAAGCCCAAAAGCCAAAAGCCAATGGTTTGGCAAAGCGAAGCTGTGATTGGCACTGAGGCGCACAGACCATAGCTCCTCACCCTGCCAAGCAGAAGGTGGAGCCAAAGCAAGCTTCTGGGCTTACATGTCGCATCGCTCGGAAGACAGCAGTCGGGGGGGTTTTTGGATTGGCTGCCGATGTCCGCATGTGGAGTTGACTCATTGGGTTGCTTGCATGGCCAGTCAGAACACGCTTCGAGGAGCATGTGCCTGATCTTCGAAGAGTAGCTAGAGTTTTGAAGGGGCTTGGGGTTGGTCACGCATGCCAGCTTAGGTGAGGAAAGCGATGAAGCAAAGACTAGCGCGATTGTTCAGGCCCATGCCAAGGGCGGATGTTTTGCCTTGTAGTGCTCATAGAGTCTGCGCCGTTGCTTCAAGCACAAGTTGACGAAACGTTTCGCACAGTCATTGGCTGAAGCAGGCCAAACCCGGCTTGGTACCGTCGCTCAGACCGGTCCCGCACTTATGCCATGCAAATGAAACTGCCGGTGGTCTAGTGTACCTGCCTCTTCCTGAGAGATGCCTCTTGCATGTGATGCTCGCTTTCTCTGCCCTGCACCCTGTTCCCAGTTGCCGCTGGAGCAGAATACCGTGCACCTGGTGAGCCGGCTGGGCCTTGCAGAGAATCTTGGCTAGAAGGGTCGGATGCCGCGGACCTTATTGTGGGGTTTCCGAAAGTAGGGGTACCTCATGAAGGGAATATTATTTGGGGATCTATATTGCAAATTTTCGAAAACCACCACATGCTCGTCCCCCAAGCCCAGCAGCGTCCTTGCCGAACGTGCAAAACGGGAGAGGGGAGTGGGGGGGGTTGGAGAGCACAGAGACGAATCGCCTCCATGTGCCAAGCAAGTCAGTGATGGGTGCGTTTGGGCAGCTATTCGTGTCTTTCTCTTCCTTTTAACGTCTACAGCCTGGCTATGTTTCAGCGTGTTTTTATTCTTTCAGGAACGCGCTCGCTCAAAGTGCTTATAGTGCTTACAGTAAAGCATAGGCGCTTATCCCTGAAGCTACTTGTCCACACATTTTACTACATTTTCGGCGAGGTCAAAAAATTCGAGCCGAGGGCCCGGCCACGCATCCACAGCAAGCCACATTTCTCCACATGGTTCTTGCTGAACGTAGGGCGGGGGTCAAAAACGTGCTTCACCTGGTGCTCACCCCTGACCGGAGCTATTCTTCCACTCTCAGAGGCTTCCTTTTCCCCGGCTATTCTTCACCCCTGAACAGCTTCTCTTCGACCCCTCGGACAGCTCATGCTTGTCGGTGAGTTTCAACCAGGCTTTGTTTGAGCAAATGAAGACACGTTGGAATTTCTGGGGACACGAACCATACGCTCCCATCTTCGTCATGAGGGCTTTCTCCCCTGAAACGCTAGTTGGCACAAGTACAGCGCGAGCAGCCCAAGCCGTGCCTAGGTTCCTCCCCTGTGCAGCCGTGCACATTGTGGAGACTCGGCATGGCTTTAGCTCTTGCAGTGGGAGATTGGCACCTTCACCATGGCAAGTGGCCACGAAAGTTTGCGAAAGGCAGCCCTGGCTGGACTTGTGCCCTTCTCCATGGGCTATTCTGTAGCAAAGCCTCGCCCTTACCATCCGGCTTGTTTTTGGCCCTTTTGGCTTTGTGGGGCTCCGAATCGCCCAGGCTCTGGAGTCTTGGGGGTTGGCGTCTGGCCGACTCTCCGAGCTTCAAGGCACCGTGAGAGTGCCCAGCGAATGATTCAGGAATGGTTGCAGCACTTGTTGCAGCATTGTAGCGTGCTACAGCACTCCTCCAGCCTGTGATGCTGGAACTTGTGAGGGTGGTTCCAGAGGTCCGTTTCTTCCAGGTCCTTTCTGTAGCTGACCCTTCCGAAGGGGTCCAGGAAAGTCTCGTGAAAAAGAAGCACTTGACCGCAAATGTTGGCCATTTCCCACACAAGGAGTGTTGAACAACCGGCATGTGCTTATGTCAAGATAGTACATGTGCATTCCCTGCATTCCCCTGAAGGCGGGATGCTTCAGCATCTTGTCTGCATGCCGCATTTCTGCCCCTCGATGTGTAGCTTCTCAGAAGCCGTGGGCGTCTTTTCCTCCTCCCAGGCTTTATCTACGCCAACGGAATTTTTCCGAGTGCCGCTTGCAAGAACAGCGTAGGCCTTGCTCATGCCCGGTGTTGTTGTGCTCCGTGAGGCGGCTGTGGTTCGGCAATGTCAGCCTCGTATATGTCCCGAGGTATTCTGTGATTACGGAAACGACAACTTTGGCCCACTTCCAGCAAGTGAGGCAGAGCAACAAGCGATGTTAAGGCCAGCAGGTTCTGAGAGCCGCAGACGCACGTGTTGCAAAGTGCCTGCAGTGGCAGGTCCACTCCCATCATTGTGGCGAACCACATGAGCTACCTTGACGTGCCCCGCATGAAACATGCATCTTCAAGTCAAAACATCATCAGCCAAACTTTTCGAAGATGCCCTTCGCAGATCTCAAGAGGTGTTGGTGCTGCCCCTCGCGCTGCAGATGCCAAAGTTCATGTCGATGGCGGGCCTCGGTGGTTTCTGGTAGGTTTCTGGTTCTTCTTGCGCTGAAACACCAATCTTTCATGGATGTGGTAAAAAAGTAGAACCCAGATGCATGCAGCAGGCCAGCGTGCGCAATGCACCCTTGTTTGGCACCCTGGGGAACGACCTGGAGTACATATGGGCCACGCGCCCGGGTGAGTTTTAAAGGCATATTTGGGCCCAGGCAGCTGTTGGAAGACATGTCTGACTGGTTGGCGAGATCAGGTGAATCGCAGCTCGAAGGACTCGAGGGGCGCCGCCATGAAGGCCATCCAAGAGCACGCGGGGACCCCGATTTCAAGAGAGAGCAAGCAGAGTATGTAACAGTGTGAACTTGGATGTTCCCCCTTATACTAGCAGTCCTTACTAGGGTATATAGTAACTACCCCCTACTATGATGATCCCAAGTACGTAGATGTAAGGAGCTGAGGGGGCTGAAGTGCTTGCGGACATGTTGCTTGAGGTCGCAGGCTGGAAAGACGGAGACCGGCCTCTGCTGATCTTTCCAGAGGTTGGCTAGCAAAGCGTATTATTATTATTATGATGATTATCATTATTATTTTTATTATAAATGTATTTTTATTAAAAAATGCTGTGTCGTTCACAGAAGCTGGCATCCAACAATACCGAAAGCATGTGGTAGTTTAAACACCTGTTTCTCCGGGGACCGAAGCTTTCTAAGCACCTGGCGTCATGCTGCGGGTCGGCCCTCATTCTCTGTCGATTCCTCCCATGAACCTTTCCGATGTAGCGAGGCGCTCCAAACAATTTGCGGAAAATGAGCCGCCAGGGTACCACGTCCAACGGCACATCGCTGCTTGAATTCAAGCAAGGACTTCGCCTCAGTGCGCCGGAGTGTGGGTGGTCCGCAGCATGTTTGCGCACGTCGTCCTGTCCTTGCCATGCGGAGTGCCGGCTTTCGAGGTGCCTTCTTTTCAGGTGCTCCCGTGTGACTTGGCTCGGAACGGGAAGCACACCCTCTGACAAGGGCACTGCAGCCGTGCGCACTGCGTGCGCAGGTAACGGCGAGAGTCTTTTTTTGTTGTGCCTCTGACTGTCAGGCGGCCTGTGCTGTTAAAGCGTCCTGGCGCGCAAACATGTTGGTTTTGTTCCACATGCATATAGAAGACGGCTTGGTTTGCAGATGTGATCATTCTCGGGGGGGGGGGGGGGGGGGGGGGGGGGGGGGCGGCACTGGCTGAATAAATGAGAAACGAGGCACACTGGTTCCTGGAATCCTGCGTGTACAGACTCTTGGCAGATTTGCCCACCTGGCACTCCGGTTTTGCGATATGCAGATGTGTGCCGAAGTGTGTGACCCAGCGAAGAAGTGCAGGTTGCGGAGAGTGAACTTGTGTAGCCAGCTAAGGATTTCCTTATGACGGAGGATGCCTTGTCCTGATTCTATCCAGCCAATCCGATTTTTTGCACAGGAGGTGGCACAGGCTTTGCTGATGTCAATGACATTCCTGCAGCGCCAACTTAGGGCCAACGCTCATTGTACTCGGATGGTGAGTGGGAAGCTGGGACTGAATATGAATAGTTATTGTCGCCTGAAGTCATCAACAAGTTGCTGCTGGCCGGACAAACAGCACGGCAGCATGGTGAAGCACATGGGGGTTTAGGAAAATAAGGGACCCCTAAAATAGACCCCCAAGTAGTAGGATTCCTTACAATAAGGACCCCAAGAAGGTATCCCTAATTTCGGAAACCCCCATATACTGAAGCGAGGCCATGAACTTCTGGGCACACCTGCTGCACAGTTGCACCATCTTCATCTGCGAGTGCCTGGGCGGAGGAATCGAAGGTCGCTGCCTGTCAGGTAAAGTCACGTGGTTGGAAAGTCCTGAGGCCATACTACCCATCGGCAGAGGAGAAGGAACCTCGGGAGCATACAAATTGAAGGTATTTCCGGAGATGACTTGTGCATGGGAGATATGCGTCCATGGTACTGCAGGACTCTAGGACCTTTCGACTAAAAGATCACTTAGCCGATCTCCGCAGAAAGAGACACTGAGGCCGACACCACTCTGTATGCTTCCAATGTACGTCAGTACATGTTGGAGAAGCAGCGGGAGCTCGAGTCGCTTTGGTCGCAGTTTTCCAGCCAGCGCAAAATGTTTGGCTCCGTGTGCGACAGCTCCTCTACTCATCTCTACTCATTTCTACTCATCTCTACTCATCCCTACTCATCTCTACTCATCTCTACTCATCTCTACTCATCTCTACTCATCTCTACTCATCTCTACTCATCTCTACTCATCTCTACTCATCTCTACTCATTACTCATCTCTGCTGAGGCTGGTCTGCCGAGCAGGGCGCCCCCACAACCCCAGCGGGCTGGTGCGCGACTGGCCACTGGGACCTCCCAGTTGGACACTGCCCCCCCCCCCCCCCCGTAAAAGGCTTCTTGGAGCTTGGCACCATGAAGAGATGCGAGGCGACGCCACCTGCGGCTGCAGCGCTTGACTGCGGAGGCATCCGGGGCATTCAAAAGCCAAAGGTCCGTCGGACGTGACGTATGGGACACAAGTTCCACGATGGCCAGCCAGTATTTGAAGAGAGAGAGGGAGGGAGAGAGAAGCTACTGCAACCTGAAGTAGAAGGGACGCCGGTGGAAGCGCAAGCAGAGACTGAAGAGAATCAAGTGAAAGGGGAGGCTGAAGTGAAAGGGGTCACGCAGAGACCCGATGACAGCAAGAAGAGTGGCTACTGTGGGGGGCTCATTCCGTGGATGAAAACGGGGTGGTCACACTACGAACTACGAACTACAAACTACGAACTACGAACTACGAACTACGAACTGCGAACTGCGAACTGCGAACTGCGAACTACAAACTGTGGCCGAGTGGCCGGAGTGGGGGGGGGCCTCTTCGCTGAGAAGAAGAAGGAGGAGGAGGAGGAGGAGGAGGAGGAGGAGGAGGAGGAGGAGGAGAGAGGGGCGTGCGCTCGCGCCGGCAAGGGGTGACCCTCTCTGAAGCTGAGAGAGATTGTGTGTGTGTGTGTGTGTGTGTGTGCGTGCGTGCGTGCAAATTTTGTGTGTGTGTGTGTGTGTGTGCGCGCGTGCAAATTTTGCGCATAACCTAACGGAATTAAGTTGAAGCCATGTTTGGTTCGGCAGAGGCCTTGGAGCCTCGAAGCCGGCTCAGGCTCTTGCCGCGAAAGCACAAGTGGCTTGCGTGCCTCGCGTTGGCTCTGCAGACCTCATCTTAGCATGTTTTGCTCTGTTCATACTTGGAGGATGCGGATGCAAAAGCGTGGCCGTGAAGGAAGCTCCCACGCTCCGAAGAGTTTCCAGCTGTGCAAGGCCCCCCCCCCTCCGCTTTCTTCCCGCAAACTGACGCTGGACCGCTGTCTGAAAGGATCTGATGTTGTTGGAGGAGACTGGCTCAACCACCTGAGTGCGCAGCCTGTCACTATGCGCAATACACACGAAGTACTTGCATCAAGCCACCGGGCATTAGGTGGAAACCTTATTTCAGCAGGCCTCGGTTGAAAATCCACATGTTTGAGCTTTGTTCTTCATGTTGTTTTTTGACTTGCTGTTGCCGTGTTGCTGTGTGTCGACAAGGTGAGTCTCAACCCGGTCTGTGCGTGTACAGTCCTAGGGCCTGTGTTAGAGTGGCACGAATTTTGCCATGATGTTCCTTTCATTTGCTGGATCCATTTTGCAAATCCAGCGATGAGAATGCCATGACGGCGGCCCTGAGGGCCCAGTGGCTGTTGTTTCAATACAACAACAGGAAAAACAGGCATGTTGGCTGGCATGTGGAGTTGGGGGGGGGGGGGGGGGGGCGGGACGGCCCCAAAATCCGACGCGAACTCAAGCAGCCTCAGCCACCAGGCGCTGGTGCCAAGTGAATTCTGGGATGTTCTGGCTGGTTCGAATTTTTGCCAGCATTCAAGAATACATAAACATGCGGTTGTGATGTTGTCCAGCAGAAAGGAGTGGGGTTTTCAGGCTTCACTGGAAAACTAACTGGTTGCCCAAAGCAGCCGTTGGCTCCGACAGTGCTGGGCCGTCCCTGGTAGGGAGAACAGATGAAGCTTCCCCAAAATGTCTCCCTCGTCGCATGCTTGGCCGAGTTTGTCGGCATGGCGCTGTTCGTGATGATCGGGTGTGGCAGCGCCATGGGCATCAAGGGCTCCGACAGCACGGGCTCCATGATTCCTGGCTGGGTTCTCATGGTGGCCTTGGTATTCGGCCTGTCCATCACTACCTTGGCATACTCCATCGGGCATTACAGCGGCGGTCACCTCAACTGCGCCGTGACCCTCGGCCTGGTCCTCACTGGGAACTGTGGGCTGCTGCAGGGAATTTGCAACGTCGCCTCCCAAATGTTGGGCTCTGTCCTTGGCGCGGCCATCTTGTGCGCTATTTTCCCGCCTGAGTTGGACATGACAACAACCTTGGGGGCTAACAGCGTGGGTCCGAAGTGGTACTGGTGGAATGCCTTGATCGGCGAGATCATGGGCACCTTCCTGCTGGTCTTCGTGGTCCACCAAACGGCTTGCAATCCAAAGTCGGCCATGAATCGCAGTCAGGCCTGCATCGCCATCGGCATCGCCGTCTTCATGGCCCACTGTGTCCTGATCCCCATCGACGGCTGCTCCATCAACCCCACGCGCTCCTTCGGCCCAGCCCTCCTGGCCCTCAGCCGTGCCAGCCGTGCCAGCCCTGCTGATGAGGGGCCGGGCTACTGGCGCAGCATGTGGATCTTCTGGGTCGGCCCGCTCTTGGGCGCCTGCCTGGCCGCGGGAGTCTACAAGCTGATGCTGCAGCTGGAAACGGCAGGAAGGGAGGCAGCAAAGGAGGCAACGGAGATGCCTGAAGAAGACTCGGAGGAGGCAGCGGAGATGCCTGAAAAAGACTCGGATCCTGAGGTCGCTCTGCCTACGAGGCTATGAGAGGGTTTAGGGATAGAAGCTAGAGGTCCAATAATTGAAAAAGGCGATGCGGCAAGGCCTCCGAAATGCCAGGGGGTCAGCTCCAATTGAGCGTTTTTTGAGCATGTCTTTTTCGTTGAATTTCTGCCACCCAAAAGGGTGGTTCTCCTGGCGTGTTTTTTTTTGTGATGTTGCGCGCTGTCCTTTAAGGACAGAGTATGCAGACATCGAGTTCAGTAGAACTTTGTACAGAGCACAGAGTCGGACGCTCAGGTCCGTGGTTTAGGTACCATGTTTCTTTTCACCGGGGTCGCGCAAGAGGCTCAGAGCCTGTTACTACGTTTGCCGCTCTGGCAAACCGACAGCGTGAGTTCGGGACAACTCGAAATAGTATCATTGAAAAAAACTCCTGTTTGTGGCTACAAGGAGCTGCTGGAGTTGGGAGGGTTGTGGCAGCCTTTCAGTGGAAGATGATGGAGCTTTCAGCCCCATCTGTCATGTGTCAGTTCGTGTGAAAACTTCCCAGGCGACTGAAACGTGTGCATTGCTTGACGTGTTCTGGCTGGAACGTGAAGACCTGCTAAGACGACTCTGGTAGTGTTCCACGCGTGAAGCAGCCCGCATGTCAATTTGAACATGTCACGTTTTTGAAATTTCAGGCTTATTCAGGTCGACCCCCCATTCAATTGTTGATCAAGTGCAGACGAAATCCATGAGCCATGCAAACTATGAGAAACCCGAAAACCCTAAGCTGGCCCCAAACCTTGGTCCTTCTAAATCCCGAATGCGTCACTCCCCCTCCCCCCTTCGAGATGTACGAAGCCCACGCCACCAATATCTTGGGGCATGAGGACACCTTGTAGCGCAAGGCGGATATTGGTTTCGGGTAAGACAAGAAGGTTTAGGTTTTAGGGTTCAGCTGACAACTGGCATGTGAGCTCTTTAGCGAACGTTCCAGACCCGGTTTTCGGCAAGCAGCTGTTGGGCAAGTTGTGATGCAGTGTTTCGGTCCACACCGCCACATGAGTCCACATGACTCAAGACGCACGTGATCAGAATTTGCCCCGCAGGTTCTTCGAAGTTACTTCGCTTTTGGAGAACTGTGCTGTCCTTCAGCCGTTTAGCTGACCGATGGCATTGCCATGGAGACACTGAGTGACACTGAAAAAGGCCCAAGAGAGTCAGTTGCACGAGTCACCTGTTTCGGAGTTTTATCCGAGACTCTGCTGCATCCACCATGTTGGCAGGTGTCCTTCGAAGCGAATGGATTGGACCCGAGCCTGAGGCCTGTGTCGACAAAGTGAAGCGTGAAGAATTAGCTTGTAAAGACTGTTGCGTAGCGATCTTGTGCCGGCTATGATCCCATCACCGTCACATTGCATCATGTTGTGCTCTAAAAGCTCCTCGACCCTTGTTGTTTGTCATATTCCCAAAGCGTTTTGCGGCGTGTTTGCTGTCATGGCAGTGATGAAAGTGGCGAACGCAGGAAGGCCTCCTGCGTGCCGGCTTGCTGAGCTTGGCCGATGCCATCGGCATCGAAAGGCCAGGGGTCCTGGCCTTGTTGGCGTGGATTGAACAAGTTGGTTGAAGAAGTTGTGGGCTGTGCCGGGAGGTTACTGGAGTTTCCGCGACGGGCCAACCGGACGTTTGGGACCTCAGCTTGGGGGACTATGAAACAACCGTCGCATTTGCGAATGCAGCTGAACCAGTGGCCGGAAGTGACCCGAGATGCCGGCAAGGCCTCTCTTGACTCGGCAGGGCTTCTTCGAGCGCCTGTTGAAGGGCGAGGACTGCTGCACTGCAGAGGTTTGTTTAGTAGATGTGTTGGGTATGGAAACCACCTTCCGTTTGAGCTGTTGTTGTGTAGGAGTTGGTTTTGTGATTGCCTCAACTGTCCATTTTTGCTCTACGGACTCCGGCCTGTTTCAATGCAGACCTCTCTTCTGGATTGCGCTGCTGCAGACGCCTCCGCCGCTGAGGCCCCGAATCAGCAGAGTCATCAACATATTTCCCAAAATCAGGGCACCCCTTTTATACCCCAAATAGAATAGAACCCCCTTAAAAGGACCCCCAAAAAAGGGTACCACTACTTTCGGAAACCTCCATCAAGAGACCTCCGATGTTGTGCAATCAATCAAATCTCAGCCGTGAGGCAGATGTCAAGAGGCTCGGATTACACCAGCTGCTGGCAATCCGGTGCGCCAAGCCCCACAGCCTGGGTCCGGTGGATAGGCTGCAGGGACACTGATCGTGGACTTGCGGCGTTTGCTCGCAGCAATTAGGCAGCTTCATGTCTAAAGCCCTTGCAGGAAGACCAACTTCAAGAACCCGTGTAGGCTTTTACTCCATCAGTATGTCAACAGACACAACAAAATGCTTATCCCGTATCATGGCATTTGCGAAGCCGGCTGCTCTTCCAAGCCGTCCGCGACTCGCGCTGTCATGCAGAATCAGATTCTTTATGCGACAAATCTAACGCCCGTGTTGCCAAGGCCGAGAGACATGGTCCTTGGCCGTAGTCTGCAGCCTCGCAAGGCATCCCAGCTAGTCTACGGTGTCGTTTTTTCAGTTTGTTCCGGCCCACAGCGTCGTTGAACCTGCAGCGCGGATGTGTATTGCCATGTGCTGCTGGTAATTGTTATCATTCTTATTATTATTGTTATTGTTATTTTTTCATTAATATATAACGATTTAATTTATTTTACTTCGAACATCCCCACCTTAGGGATTTGGATTGGGGCACTCCAGAAGAGTTCCGGGCGAGGAGAAAAGTTGAGTTTAAAATCTAACAACCCCACACCGAAGGTGGGGAAAAAGAAAAGCATATAGGTATGAGTATGACTAGCAATATCAAAAAGCCCAGCAGGTGGATGCAACGCATCCCCGCAGTCTTCCAGCCCTTTCTGCGAGACGCAGCCGCCGCCGATTTGGCAGGCTGCCCTTTGCTTCGGTGTGCCGCTGTTTGTGTGGGGGACCATATGGTTGTGCCGCGCGGAATCTACAGAGGCCTCGCAGAAGACGGCTAGTCTGGGATGCAGCCGAGGCGACAGCTTCGGAGGTGAGCTTTGGGGGGACTGTATGACCGGATGGCGCAAACTGTCGCCAGGCTTTGGGGCTCAGTGGCCTTCTTCGCCAGATTGGAAGGAGCCAAACTGAGTGCAAGCTGGGCGAAGCACCCTGGAGTTAAATGCTTCTGCGGTACGCAGGCGTGTGCGGCCCTGGCGGAAGCGCAGTGCAAAATGGAAGCGGCGTGCTACATCATCGATGGTCAGTTTTTGGCAGGCGCTGCGTAGCCCACAGCCGTCAGGCCATCATTCGCAATGGCTCCATGAGGTTCCATGTTTGTGCAGGAGTGGGGTGCGTCGCGTTGGATTCGTGAAGCCTTCGGCTTGCTTCTACGCATACCACTTCTTCGGCAGGCAAGGCCCAATTTGTGCATGAGGCAACCATTGAACGCCATTGAACACAAAAGCACCTACAGTTATGTTCTGGTAGTTCTATGAGATTCCATGGCATTCGAATTGCCTTGATGCGAAAAGACTGCGCGCAGGTCCTCTTCAGGGACAGTCAGTGCGATGCCAGCCTACTCTTCCTCTTCGTTGCCAAAGGCGGGGCATAGGAGATGTTCATGCGGATGCCAAAAGAACGAATGCCTTACCAGCGAGTTGGCGCCTCAAGCAGGAAACAACAGTAAAGATGCAGGTCGTCCCAACCGCGACCGGCTGAACATGCCTCACAGGCAGGCATTGGAACCGTCTCAGCTTTCCTTGACGATGGCACGACTTTGGACATCAAGTGTGTGGGCATTCAATGGTCCACGGGCAGTTTAATGAATTCTCGTAGGGCCCGGAGCTTGCTGTGTCCCTGGCACTGAACTGTTGCTGCTCCAACACCAGGAATCGGAGAGACACTGTGGCTCGCTGTCTATCAGGTGTGCCAGGGTTGGGCGTATGGTCCCCCATGAGGTTGCTGTGGGTCTTGTTGTTGCCTCGAAGGTGCTCTCTGGCGTGCCCCCGGCGTAGCGTACCAAGATCGGTGCGGGGCCTGGGCCAGTGCCCGTACCTCAAGGAGTGGATATGTAATCATAGGGAGTTTAGGGTTTAGGGTTTAAGCGGCTTTTGCACAGTTCTGCACAGGGATCGCATGGGTTAATGACTCATGACGGTGGGTGGTGAGCACGTGGAAGACTGTACTGCCACCAAGGGCGGCAGCGCTGCTCTTCGAAGATGGTCGCACTTGGCTGCTGGATACTGTGCCTCAGTTGCGCTGGTGGATTCAGGGGACTAACGGAAAAATCCTTATAAAGTGTGAGGGGTTCTGGGGGCTCTAATGTTCGTATGTAGAGACTTGTGTGCGGCATAGACAGGGGGTGTTATGTAGTTGTCCCTGAACTCAAACGTAGGCCAGTGAGGGCCATATTACCATTCATATACTCATATACCATTCGAGGCTAGGATGGGCAGCCGTGGCATGTTCTGAGCGGCCGGAGGATGCCACCGTCTCGTCAGTGGGACGACTTCCAAATGAGAGCGCGCTGCTCTCTTACGTGGCCTACCTGCACATGAGTTCCTTCTGGGCCGCGCGGTCCTGCTCTTTTTTTGGCGTTCGTAGCCCAGGCGGCGCAAGCCGTGACCGTATAGAAGGTTCTGGAAGCAGAGTGCGTGATGTCAGCCGGTTCTCATCCCAGGTCTGGAGATCCGGCAAGACTGGCGTCCCTTGTTCGCACCAGATTCGACACACCTGCTTGTTGCTGACGTGTCGGCAGCGGAGCTCTCTGCTGAGTCTGGCGGAGTGCGAGAAGTTGTTCCCCCACGATCTGATCGCTACTTGGAGGCAGCGGCCTACAGGCAGAACGGAACATGTTGCTGCAAGAACATGGCTTGCCTGTGGCATGTCCCAGCATCTTCAAGAACAACTCTGATTCTTGGGGCAGGCTCTTTCGAAGCCTGGGGCCGCTTCGGAAGCATTCCTGTACTTTTTGGGCAGTTCGAGACATCTCGTGACATTTAGGATTGTTGGGATCGTTTAGGTCGCCTGCTGGCAGCGCCCTGATCCTGCTGGACGACACGCATCCCTCGCTGCCTCTTGTGGGTTTTGAGTCCCCGCCTCGCATCAGGCAGATTCCCACGTTCAAGTCTGTCACGCACAGAATGCACGTGCATGTCAGCAAGAATCTGGGGCAACACTAGCCGAGTGTCTCAGGGAGGGCCTAGGTTCCTAGATGTGATAAGGTAGTGAGTTAAACTGAAGCGGGTGGATCGATCCAGGCGTGCGCTTTGCTTGCTTGGCTGCCCAGCTGGCTTGAGCCCCTTCCAGGAGAGGTGGCGAAGCTTGCCGTGTAAAGCAATACATCCTCGTCATTCCTTACATCTGCCCACAGTCATGAAGTCATGCTCGGAGTGGCAGTCCAAGCTGAAGTATTACAGGGCGGTTTCGTGTTTCGGGAAGATTCGGCGACCCGGAGCGTGCAGGAGCGAGCTTTTGCGCGCGCAGCACGCTGTGCCGGCTGGCAGGCTGATGCTTCGACTGATTGTGGCTAAAGGCCATAAGCCCTACACCCTAAGCAGGCTCCATCCATTTTTTTAAAAACCCTTCTTGAGACCACGGGTGGCGTTCCTACTCAGCCTTAGAGTAGCGAGCCCAGATCCCCATAAATCTTTCAAGCGAGCAGCTGCCAGCCACAAAGCTCACAACGATCTCGCCAACTGTTAACATCTGTGAACGTCGTACGATGCCATGTGGCTCACATGTCAGCACAATGGATTAAGACAGGTCCTTCGGCTGCGGCTGGGCAAAGCGTCGGAGTTTGCCTCAAAGATGGTTGCGCGACTCCAGGCACGGTCAAAAGCTGTTCTTGTGGCCCTCGGGTGTGCAGGCGGTCAGGCGACTCTTAAGCATCAGATAGCGTTCTCTAGGAAAACGTTGCAGGTTTGGCACTCCTGTGGGCGCCTGTTTCCCTCCCTTGATGCCGTGGAAGCACTTGGAGGCGGTTGGAGTGTCCCGGAAAACCTGAAGGAACAAGTGTTCCAGTGTCACAAGTTTTTCCGCAGGACTCAGAAGTCAGGGGAAGGGGAAGAATTGGATCTGCTGTGCGACTTCATGTGCGCGAGGTATGCGAGGTTCGTTGCCATGGCCGTCACAGCGCAACCTTTCGAAGGACTATGACAGCGGTGCCCTGAGCAAGGCTGGACAGTATTTGCATTGCATGTGGACACATGCTTCAGCGTCATGCAAAGAATCTGACATGGAAGCCACAGTCGTCACATGTATCATATGCAGTCATGCGCATGGCAGGCTGTTCGTGTGTCTGCGCCTGTACTCATGCGAGATATGAGAGTTGATGATTGCGCTTGGTAGGGTAGGTCTCTCGGCAGGTTGGGGTTCATTTCCTCGTCCCTGTTGACTCAGAAGCTTGGCTGCAAAAGACGAGAGCTTCCGAATTCCTGCATCGGCCGTAATCTTGCTGTGTGACCCCAGTGCGTGGTAGTGATGCAAGGAGCTCGCTGAGCTAACTTGCCACGAAAGCCAGCGTTCCTTCGCCGCTCGTGGGGAGCTGGCTCTGGCGGCACGCAGCACGGTGGCGGCGGTTTGCCACTCCAAGGCGCGGCAGTGCAGAACGCCTTGCTGAGACTCCGGGAGTGCTGGATTGACGGCCATAGGACACACTTAAAGTGCATGTGGGAGTACCGTCGAAAAGAAAACGCATCAGAAACCGCAGGAAGGCCCACACACGCAAGTCGAACCGATTCGAATTGGCTTTGCTGGTGGGGGGCCCACGCTGGCTCTCCTGAGCTTTTCGACCTCCATACATACCTCCATGGTATAAACAACAACCTCAACACCACCATAACAACATCAGCAGCAGCGACAATAACAGCAAACAACAGCAACAAGAACACGCGAACATCCCCGCCACTACCTCAAACGCCAACAACAACTGTAACAAGACCAGCAACCACAGCACCAAACAACATCGACGCCACCTCCGCCACTTCCCCACCTCCGCCACTTCCCCACCTACCCCACCTCCCCCACTTCCGCCACCTCCCTCAGCAACCACCGCCACCTCCGCCACCACCGCCACCACCGCCACCACCAGCAACAACTTGGGCTTTCAGGTTCAGTTAGTTTTCGTTTTCAAGCTTGGGCTCAACGCGATGCCTTCTCGTTCAAAGGTTTGTCGAGAGGTCCTAGCCGTCGCGGCATATCCACTGGAAGCAAGGGCACCGTGCGAAAGTGCTTGGATGTGAAAGGCCCTCAAGGGAAGGCAATTCCTTGGCACATCTTGTCATGTGATCTTTCAGCTACTGGCAAGGGTGGCTGGCGGGGCTGCCAAATCACCTTGTGCGACTCGGGAGCAAATTTGTTGGGACCGGCCCTTTTTGGTCAGCTCGACTTGCTGCATATTCCAGGCGTGCAAGCTCAGGTTTCGGGTGTGGAGGAATGATCACCATCACCGGTGCGCTCCCGGACCGGTTGGTCAAAAAATCGGTTGCCATGACCGAGCGGCTTGAATGAAGCCTCGCTCACATGGTCCCAATCCAGGGAAAACACGAAGTACAGTAACCCTAAACCCTAAACCCTAAACCCTAAACCCTAAACCCTAAACCCTAAACCCTAAACCCTAAACCCTAAACCCAAGAACCCAACAGGTAGCAGCACCCGGAGCACCCTTGAGGTCCAATTTCTTGACCGAGCTCACCAAGGCAGCAAAATTGTCCAATCAGGCGGGCATCCTTGTCCTGCACCAAGTTTAGGGTTTAGGGTTCAGGGTTTAGGGTTTAGGGCCGGGTTTAGGGTTTAGGGTTTAGGGTTTAGGGTTTAGGGTTTAGGGTTTAGGGATTAGGGGAGACTTGCCAGTTTAGCTCCGAGCGATGTAGGCAATGCATGTTCAGCATTCGTTTGTTCTGAATTAGGAGTGCTCTGTCCTGGGCGAGGAGAATGCTGAATCTGCGCGAGGAGTGGAAGTGCATCGCGCAGGCAAGTGCCGTTTCAAATGCAACATTGCAACATGGCATTCTTATCCAGCCAAGTACAGTACTGGCATCCATACGGATGCGGAATAAACCCCTAAACCCTAACCCCTAAACCCTAATCCCACTAACCGGCTGCCCTGCAAGGAGAGAGCTTCTGCTGCGAGCATGCGCTGGTGCTGGACATCATGCAAGAAGGAAGCAACGACATGCTGACTCCTCGACAAGAGGCCGAGGACATTGTATTACTGCAAGGATGTTTGCAGCCCTATATATTTACTTATCTAGTGACCCCTTGAGACTTAGGGTCACCGGGTCGAGTTCAGTGACCCCAGTGCAGCAGCATCTTCGACACAGACTGACAGATTGCTGCGCATCAGGCTTGTGAGAGTTGGGTGAGGATTCTGGGCTTACGGCAGAGTCTGCACACCCTGCCGACAAGCTGCTTGCGGCGCTGGACCAGCGGCCTGACACTTGCCGGAAGAGTTTCCGGAAGAGTCTGCGGATGGTTGCGATTGTATTCCGACTTTCGTGTGGTTACATGCTCTTGACGTCTCTTATCTTTTGACGAACTTGGCATTCGGAGTTTTGAGGGATTTCATGATTGCTCGACTGTATTCAGGAGTCTCTCCTGGTTGATTTGGGCACAACGAAAACAGCTGCAGCATCACGCCGCATCACGGCATCACTTTGTGGCTGTGATCTCGGAAATGCGCCGGAGGCCAGGTCCTCGACCCGCATGAAAACAGAATTGCTATTTCGAAGCACGGGCTCTCGAACAACATGGGCGTACATATTATGGGCATTTCCAAAAAGAGGGGTACCCCGTTTACACCTCAAATAGAATAGAACCCCCGTAAAGGGGACTCCGAAGAAGGGCACCCCCTTTCTCGGAAGCTGCAGCTCCCTGCGAGGTGATTGGCATCCTCCAGAGTGGCCTTCTGGGTGAAGAGCAGTCGTCCCTGGAAGTCCTTCGAACAATCCTCCAGCCTCCACACTGTGTGTCGCCTGGGCTACAGCTCTAACTCGTTGGGCACTCGGGCCTCGCTGCCGAGCAGCTCCAGCGCGACAGTCCGGTGCAGGAACCTTGAGAAATTTGGAACAAGGATAACAGAGGATGCGGCCCAATTCTACCACGATGCCAAGAGGAGCTCGCTTGGATGGATACCCAATCTTCTATCCACGGACACCTCCCTCTGAATTTCTGTTCGACGCCCAAGAGAGCTTGCAGGAGCCGCTCGTGCCAGCAGCTGCCAGCAGTTCATATCATCACCATTCCGTGGCTTATGAGATCATAGGGGGCTGCAAGGAGCTGCTCAAAGTCTCGAGCTTGCTGATGATCGCCCATCCTGCAACCGAGCGGTGCAGGCTTTTGAGGACTCGTGCGGGAGGCGTCGCAGGCATGGCAGTCCATGCCGCGAAGCTCAATGGTAGTGCTTCACATGATGTTGGTGCGGCTGTATGTTGACGCTCCCAGCACTGGTTCCACTGAACTGGCCGGGGCATGTACACAGAGGTGCCTGCATCTTATCCAACTTGAGTCTTCCACAACATGTGTGAAGAGACACGCTTGCGGAAGCCTGAACCGACCACCCTGCTATTCCGTGCTTTGCAGCTTTGATGTGTCAGTGGGCCAGAATGTTTTGCTGTCAACATGCCCTTTGAAGGAGTGTCAATTAAGCCAGCTCCATGTGGGTAGTTCCTCAAATAGGGGTACCCCCCTTTTATACGCCCAAATAAGTTGAAGAATCACGAGCTTCCTTCCTCTATTGTAAAGCATGTATAGTCATGTTGTGCAGACTAGGATGACTTACCTTCTGACCATTTTTGGCTCAAGTAAAAAGGCCGCATGAGGTGCGGCTTGCACGCAGGGTTGAGGGCTTTGAGGGTCCCTGAACCCTTCTTTTGGTTGTGCCTGGTCCTTCCCCTTTCAGGCTTAGGCCAGGTTCTAACCTGTTCAACTGGTTATCAGCTCCGTATCGCTCTGTTTGTTCTGTAGATTTCAGGGTCTAGGATTGAGGACCCATGGACTGCAACCCTCCTCGTGAGGAAGAGCGCATTCCAAGGCCTCTCGGTGTGAGAGGCACTCGAGGGGGCGCCGCAGCCCAGAGGAAGCGGAAAGCATATCAAATATATATCTTTCTGCGCGATCAGGACTTGGGCATCTTCGCTGATCCATCCGAAGTTCCCTTCCGTCGCCCTGACGGATCTACAAGATCCGTAGTGCGCCGTCCGAGGACGGCTCCCTTTCAGGCTGTGGAAGAGCAGTCAGAAGTGATCGTTATTGACGATCAGGCCCCGGAGACTCCGCCGCCTTCTACGCCAGTTCGTCCGTTTCATCGACTTCATCCTTCAACTGTTGTTCTGAAGGCGAAGACCACGGCTCCATCACCTCCACCCGCTTCTTCGTCATCAAGCTCTTCAACTCAGAGGCCTTTGCCGGCTCCAAAGCCTTTGTTAACTCCATCGGCTTCATTGTCATCAGACATTCCGGCTCCGAAGACTCCACCGAAAGCTCCGCCTCGAAGTTTGTCATCAGGCATTCCGGTTCCAAAGACTCCACCGAAGGCTCCGCCTCGTGTGCCGGAACCTTCGCATCCTCCATCGGCTCAGGTGCTGCATCGTGTGCCGGAACCTTCGCATCCTCCGCCACCTCAGGTGACAGGAAATCCTCGTGTGATTGACTTCCGTCCCCTGAAGACAGAGGTGCTGGACTTTGAGGGTGTTAAGGTGAAGCTTACGGAACCTGCTTTCGAGAGATTCTCCTTTGGTTTGAGCTTGGATTTTCACGGAGTGTTGGATCGATATCACAAGAAGTCGACAAGCTGGACGGATCCTAGGCCCGAGTTTCCTTCAGAGTGTGTGGCAGCCTTGCGCGATCTTCATTCGTTGATTCCGCGCTACGGGGGCTTATTCTTCGTCTGCAGTTACTGTCATCACGAGGACACTAAAAGGCACGTGGTTGAGACGACAGTGAATTCCTGTGATACGCTTTTCACGCAGATCGGGGAATCGCCTATTTGCCTCATTTTCATTACGAGGAAGGCCACTGGTCCGTTGGGGAAGCGTGCAGTGCTGGAACATCTGGCAAAGGAGGTTGAGCTCCCCATCATTCACGTCGACGACTCTGCGGATGTCTGTGACGAGTTGGCGGGCTCTGAGCACGTGATTCCTCTGCATATTGCCATTCCGAAGAGATCCAAGGGGAGTCGTGGACAGCGCACTATTTTTCCGCGTGCTCCCGTGCCTTCCTTTGACAGCTTTCCGGAGTGTACTGACGCTATCAGAGGTCAGGTGCGGAAGTGGTTTCCAGACGCCTAAAGGTCTGGGGCTGTTCGTCCAGTTGTCCGGCGCTGAGCGCCTCCTCTGGCGACATTGAGGGGATTGCAGATCCAACCGTGAGCCTCGCCTCTTCTGCCAAAAGAAAGGGTGCGTTAAGCTGCTACTAAGCGCTTCCACCTCCCAAGGCAATGTCTTCCCCCTCAGACCCTAGCAACCAAGCTAGTTCGGTACTTGATCTATCGAGTGCCTCAGCCATGGCATTGCCGGGTGGTATCGGTTCAGATAGTGGTTCGGTTACGAGTAGTTCTGCAGTTGAGCTCCGTGAAAGGTCCCCTCCTCTGACTAGACGGGCTTTATCAGGTCCTCGCAGATCTCGTGAGCACTCACACCCTTACCCCAATCTAACTGCTCAAGCCTCATACACGCAGAACATCCTGAACGTAGGAGCGTCCCCACAAGAAGTTCTGGATGCCCAACGTTTGGCTGCAGCCCAAGCAGCGCAGCAAGTGGCTGATCATGCTGAGCAGCTACATGCTGTAAGGCTAGAGCAGGTAGAGAATGAGGCTAGAGGTTTGGTTGAAGCCACCGTTGAGCAAATGCGTGAGCAGTTGCAACAATACGAACATCGTTATGATGAGATCCTTCAACAGGGTCGAATCTTGGAAGAACAGCTATCCGTAGCTAAGGCTGAGCTAAGCAAAGTCGAAGCTGAACTTCAGGTTGCTCGTGCAGGGTACCAAGAGCTTGAAGCCGCCCTAACCAGCTGCCGGGGTGATAACAACTTGCTGAACTTCCAAAACACCCAGCTACGTGTTGAGTTGCAAGTCAAAGACCGTGAGATTCAGAGACTTCGTCAGGCTGCTTTAAGCGCCACGAGTCCTGGGTCTTCACCTCCAAAGCCTGCACCTCGCCAGCAAGATGTGCCATCTGCAATTGCACCAAGTGCCTGTTCTGGTGGTTCTAGTTGGGTACATATCGGTTCGGATGGGGACAATAATGGTGCACCTTCATTGCCGCAAGTTGTCAATGAGTCACCCCCTTGCCCTCCTGCAACCGTTACCGACCCTCGTGTTGATCAGTTGATTGATGTCGTCCAGCAACTGCTTGCCCAAAGAAATGGCACGGATCAAGGATGCAATGATGCATCTCCTGTTCATGAGATCGAAGAGCCTGAGAGGCAAGAGAAGCACATTGTTGACAACCGAGCTTTGTTGCATCTCAAGCTTGAACCTGTTCCTTCCGACGCTGCTGGTTTCCGAGCCTGGAAAAACGCGTTGTTGGTCCAAATTGCCAAGCTTGATATGTCAGGAGAAGGTTTGGTCGTTGAATGGCTGTCTCAGTCTTTCACAGCTGAAAAAGAAGACCTTACTGAGTCTGGTTTTCTCCCTCGCCTTGACGCTTGGATTGCTGGAGAGATGACTTCCTTGCGTGTGTTGAAGCAAGTGACTGAGTTGGAGCAAGAGGTAATTGCCTATGTTGAGTTGTGCGGCCAAGCACGGTCCCAGCCGAAAGGTCGATACATGCTTGCCCTTCTTGCTCGTCATTTCAGCATCGACCGTGTTCGAGGTACTGTGCTGACTGCTTCGACGTTGTTCCAGGTTGAAATCGGGGGAAACTCCATGCGAGATCTCCGAGACTTTGTGCAACGCGTAAGGACTGTTCTGTATGCCATACCGGTCGGACAGAGGCCAGATGATCGCCTCACTGGTGAATGGCTTTTCCACCGGGTGAAGCATATTCGAAAGTTGGAACGCATCATCGAGGATATCAGAGAATCTGCGCCAGAATCCCGTCGTCGTGAGTGGGATTACTTATGGAACAAAATACAAGATATCCTTGTTCAAGAGCGAGAAGATGCAAACTCTCACTCAGTGATGAAGTCTTTGCAAATTGCCGCTCCGCAGGCAAAGACAAAGGGAGTTCCTGCAGAGACTAAGGAGGCATCCCGGAGTCCCCCAAAGGCCAAGACTCCTGCCCCAGTGTCCACTGGACCTCCACCGAAGGCTCCAGTACCTGCAAATCCCGCACCAAGCCCCAAACCTAAGACAAAAGCTAAAGCGAAGGCAAAAGGCATGTCAGATGCAGAAAAAGCCAAGACACCTTGCATTTTCTTCAGAATGTCGTCTGGTTGCATGCATGGAGAGAATTGCAAGTACAGCCACGCCCCTGATAAGACCCCTAAGGTTGACCCTAAGTCTAAGCCTAAGGCCGCCGCTTCCAAGCCCAAGTCCCCAGGAGCTGTTGCAAAAGCAGTCGTGGCAATGATGGCCGCCTCAAGCATGTGCAACATTCCTGGGAGCAACGCTTTCAGCGTTGAATGGGCTGCCGACACAGCTGCTGGTCGGCATCTTGGATCGGCGCGAGCGCTGGCAGACCAGGGAATTCCGTCGGAGTCGTACAGGTCCTTTCTTGCGCACTCAGCGAGCCCTGTTACGTTCCACACAGGTGGTGGACCTCAGCCTGGCTCTCAGAGTTTGGGATTTGCGTCCGACAATATGCCTCTCGCCAACCACTACATGTTGGACAACTGTCCAGTTGTTCGGAGCACCGGTTTGGATGTTGAATCCGGGAAGGCCTTTATATGGTTACCTGGTTCCCTTCCTTTCTTCGTGCATGACTTGTCTAAGCTTCGGATTGATTGCGCTGAGGAGGCCAGGTTTTATGCAACGCGCATAGATGAGCATGTGCCTATTTTCACCAGCAAAGTTCAGTTTGTCCACGGCGTGGCTGCGTCAGCTGATTCTCTTGAAAGGTCTGGTAAGGAAAGCCGAGAGCCTTCGACCCCCTTTGCCCATGATCCAGCTGAAGAGTATGCCAAAGACCTCCTAACAAAGCGTGGTGATATTCAGCCCAATCAAGTTCGTAAGATCTTTGGACTTGTGAAGCGTGGTTCAGCACCCCGAGGGATTGAGCCGAGCAACGACTCGTCCTTTGCAGTTGGCTGCTTCCGTCGAGGTGGCGTCGTCGGTCTTTTGAAGTCTACGAAGGAGTACCCTTTCGTGACTCGTGCATTGAACCAATTTGCACAGCGTAAAGCCCCTGGACATGTTTACACCACCATCAATTTGCTGCACAATGTGTCCGCAGATCCTCACAAGGATTCCCGTAATGCTGGGATCGACAATGTTGTCATTTCGTTGGGGGGTTTTACCGGTGGTGGTGTTTGGGTTGAAGATGCTGCAGGAA